CCTTCTATTTGGCCCCTGCGGCTTCGGCCCGGCTTCAATCTAGACCTAGTGGGCTCCGAGGCAGTCCGAGGCACTTTCTGATTGCTTTCCAAAGCAGTCGGCCATCGGCGTAGAAGGGCAAGGATTGCAACTTGGGAGAAAGCCTCGCACTGAGCAGTCTACGCATTGTACGCCGATTGTACGCCGATTGTACGCATGGCTGCTCCGGATGTTGAGCTCGACATGTCCGATGCCGCAGCTTCAACTGGGGGATGGTCCTCCTCCACTCATCGTCTTCCACTATCGCCTGCTTTGAATGAAACTCTAGCAGTTGCAGCGCAGTCATGTGACCAGCGCCTGGATTGAAGGCGCATCTGTGATGTCATCAAGCATTGCCGGGACCTTGTGGCCTAAGCTTTGGATCTTCGATGAGAAGAGAACTCTGCATATCTCTGCGAAGCTGTAAGGTCGCCGCTCAACTTCACAAAATCTGAGAAAGGAGTTGCTCGGTGCAGTAAATGGTTTGGACCTGACTTTACTAACCCTCCTAAACTCGAGGATGACCCAGGCCGGATGGCATTTAGGAAGCAAAAAGCGGAACGTCTCGAGTTCCGTGCCCAGCAGTACATGAACTGCCTGCAGCTTGGCCCATTCTCTTGCGGCTCCTTCGGTGCCTCATCTCTCAACAGCACCTGCCTGAATGTTGACGAAAATAGAGCCGAATGTGAAGATGGAAAGCAGACGCCGCTGGGGATGATCGGCTGGAAGAGCAATTCCTGGACTGTTTAGAAGATTTTAGAAGTCTTAGAATGCGCGAAGTTGCTGCAAGCTTCAACTTAAAGCAGTGATGCTGACAGAGCAAAGGCTGTAAATGAGTGTCTCCAAGTCTCGACTGGCACGTGCAAGCAAGTTGGCTGTCCTGAAGAGGAGAGACATCTGTCTGCAGTTGAGTGGGACAGTGGCTTCAAGACATTGAATGGCCATGAGGGCCTGAAATGTGTAAAGTGAAGGTGGTCCACCAGGGTGACGCCTTGAGAGTCATTTCCAAATTTGGTGAAGGCCATGTGTGGGAATGTCTCGGGGGAGCACTCAAAAGAGCACCTAAAAGCGGAAAAGAAAGCATATGGAATTTGGATGAATTTGGCAAAGAGACCAAAATGCAGAGAGCAGTCCGAGGCCTGTGACCAAGGTGCTTCTCCATACGAACTTCCAATACTGCCACCTGAGTCGTCAGAGGCTCTCCTATTTTGTCTCGCTCTTTTTGCAAGGGAGATGACTCTCCAAGCGCCCTCCAAGAGCCGCGCTGCTTATCCCCGCGGGCAACCTGGTCCATGACCATGTTGGCAACGAAGCCACGAGTCGAAGGACACCAACGCTTCACAACGTTCGGCAATGCCCACTGCTCCACAGCCATGGCAGCTAGGGAACAGTGTCGCCATCTGGTGTGACCAAGAGAACGGGCAGCTCATCTTGGCATTAGTCAGCAGGGTGTTAGCACGAAACTAAAAGAACTGGCATGAGAGTGCCATGTACAAGGAGAAGACAAAGCGGGGGCAAAGGCACGCACGAAACAACGCACACGAAACAAACACGCACTCTACAGCTCGGCCAGTCCGCAAGTGCTCAGGAGCCCCGAAGAACCCTCAACAAGAGAGCCAAAGAAGACATAAGCGTGGTGCCTTGATTGAAGTACCTTGGTAAGGGCAGTACAGTGTGTGAGGAGCAGCCGTCAATAACGTGGACAAATTAGCCTACAGCCGTCACATTCCGCATGTACCATTCGAGATGCAAATCCACACCATATTTGCCGAAGCCATCGCGCACCGTGAGGCCGCTGAACATGTTAAGAGCTATCCTCGGCCGCACAGCATGGGCTACACCTGGCTCCAGTGGGTGGGTTTGTGAGGGGTATGCGGAGGCCTTCCGTTTGTGCTTCAAGTTTGTTGTGAACGAGCGCTCTGCATTGCCTGTAAACACTGTAAACACTTTAGAGCCAACATAGCATATTCTACCAAGCGGAAAGTCCACACATTCCGAAGCGAGGAACACAACATCAAATCAGCCTAGCTGCCTGAATGGAAGCTCCACGTCACCAACACCTGGCACATCCTTGAAGGAAAAGGAGCCAGCCTCCAACCTGCTGGGGGGTTGTGCGAAATCTCTCAGCAACTTTCATTTGACAAAAAGCACGCGGAAAGGCACTCAGCTCTTCAGCTCTAAGACTCTAGGATACTCTAGGGAAGGCCTGTGAGCTCCGATCAGGTGGAAGGCGATGGCTCTCTCTACTTGATCATCCCACTCATCCTGGCAAGCTGTGGTCTTTTAATGTCTTTTGGGTATCGTTGAGGCACGTCGGTTCTGCTCACGGAAGTCTTAGACAGGGCTCCTTTTTGAGGTACACGCTAAAGTCTGTCATCTGCTTTGGCCACAAGAGGTTGCCATCCCAGGTGTGCGCGATGTCGTAGAAGCTCATCACCCAATCTCTTTTGCTCTTGAACTTCCCTGATTTCAGGACGGCGTCCCACGTGTTGTGAGTCGGATCGTCCAGAGCATCATCAAATCGTCCTGCCAGGACATGGTGTAGATAGACCAATGGTCAGTGTGTCCTGGCCTTTCCGACCTTTAATGCCTGCAATTTTTCAGCTCAGACAAACCTCCCTTCGCACACCTTCACACCCTTCGGTGATGCTCCACCTGCTTCCTTGGAATCTGGGCGAAGGAGTGACAGACTTCCCCTCGGTCCTGTCAAGCTGCTGTTCTCGACGTTCAACTTGCGAAGGGCGCTGTAGAAGCAGGTCATCATCGGCACGTACGCCATCCTGCTGTTTCCCCACTTGTGCGAAGATGCACTTAAAAGCTTGTAGTGTAGCTGGTGATATCTTCTGTAACTTCTTTTAGAAGCAGTCAGGTAGGTTCTCCTCAGCACGAAGTGTGGCACCATGGCCTGCGTTCTGTGCAGAAGATGTGCATTGGTACAGCTGACATTCAGGATGTGACCGGGGCCTCGAACCAATAGAAATTCGGATTGCCATCCACGTCATAGTGAGGCGCATGGATGTTTTCCACCTTGCACAACTTGTGCACGACTGCAGACAAACAAGTTTAAAATACGAAGAATGTCTGCAGCTATGGGCCTCAAGGACGTCTTCGCGCTGCAGCATCTCCGTCGGAACATTCACGTACGACTGCACAGTTGCGAACGATTGTGTCACCTCTCCTCTGAAATCATGTCGCGCCCTGCTCAGCAATGAGAGCGACACTTGGAACATGCAGACGTGGAATCGCGAACCTAATTGAGCCGAACTTTTCGAAACCATACTCAGTACTTTGGACAAGGTTCCAAACCACATCCTGTGAGCTCAAATCCGAGCCATGGCAAGAGATACGCAACCAGTGGTGGTTCGCCCTACACCGGAACAACATCCTCTTTCGCGCTTGGGTGCCATGAAGCACTCAACACAGACCCTACGGATGCCTCCAAAGAGAACCATAGAGAACCCCTGTTTCGTGAGCAAGTCCTCCCTTCTGACTTAGGATCCTTGTGCAGCTGTGAGCTCCTGAGAGGGCACCCAACACATGAGGATCTAATCCCCGCTTCAATTCACCGAAATGCGGTAGAACCTGGGTAGAACGATACAACTGTGTTCCGTGCTGACAGAACGCGCCTTGTCCCGGGTTTTGTAAATCCCCAGGAGGACCCGACCGACTATCGTCATGACAGCTGCGGTGTACCTCATGACAAACCATGAGTGTGTCCACATACCAACTTAGGAGACTTAGGACATTGGCTCTTGCTGCAGGCGGGTCTCTCGTCCGCGAAATCCTCTGGATGCACACCTGGTCCAGCTTCGAGTACGCTGCACAGCTTGCTTCAAACTGTTGATGTCCTTGCCTGATGGCCACAGAGACCTCATGCCCAAGTTGACATCACTGCTCCTATCTGCTTTCAAAACCCCTAAGCCAGCCAACTGCGTCAGAGATGTCAGAGCAAGGAATCGCTCTCGTTGCAACATCGCAGTAGTTGAGGGCCCTGCACCATGGACATTGTCCCCGTAGCTCGCTTCAGTATGCCCAACGCCCAGAGGACGGTGTGAGCTGCGATGGAGTCGACTTTTGGACACATCCTCTCCATGTCCTGCTGTGTCTACCGTCGGCACAACTTACTCTGCAGTCATCATCACGTGCTCTGCACTCCATACAAGATCAGCTGGTCCTGCTTAAAGCCTTCAATCTCGTGAGCAAGAGTTTCTGGCCCTGATGGTTGGATACACGAGCCTGCAGCAAACACTCAGTACGGATTGAAAAGGTAGACACAAGACCAAGCTGCATAACACCTGCCATGTGGGCAGCAATACTGAGCACTTGTCCCGCCGCCGCGCTGTCGGCAGAGCAACTTCCATCCTTCCAACAACACGCAGTACATTGATGTACATATTGGTACCACGTCATGTGTACAATTCTGTACATAATCTTGATTCATCTTGTTTGAGCACGTTTCCGTCACAACGGTGTGGCTTTCCTCGGCCGCTGCAGTCGCATGCAAGATGCATGCCACCACGATTGGCCTGCTCAACAGTAGCCCTTTCCATTCTCAACTGCCGAAGAGAAAATTGCTGAAAACAAGATTCATCGTGCTAAGCTGCACGCTGGAGCCAGTGGAGGCAAGACATGGCTGCAGGGTATTTACTCTATCAGGTCCAGTGTCAAAGATGCCGTTTGCGAATCCTGATGCCCTTGATTCAACTACACAACGGCCCGACACGTCTTCACCTCTGTTGCCATGTAGCATGTATCTCAGTGCCCTTCACTCGCTCCCCGATCAAGTCAAGAACCGTATGGAATTGTCCAAACCTCACTAGAGAATACGAGGATGACCTGCTGCTCTGTGCTAAAGCTACAAACATGGAAGAGGAATGTATCCAAATTTCATCGGCAACTCGTCGGAGCATCATGCTCATGTCTTGGGGCTGCTGGCTGGAGGTTAAAGACAAGTTGGGCACTGGGGGCGCTGAGGGCTGAGCCTTGCCACGAATCCGAATCTGTTCTCCATCCTCTGAATTCGGGCAGGGCTGTGCTCATTCCATCACAACACCATGCTGAGCCTGCAGCAACTTCCCCAAGTGTTCCTGTGCAGCCTCCAGCCTTAGCGAAATTAGCACACTTGCCTTGTCTGTGTGATCAAATGACATCACTTGGTTGCAGGGGCATGGCGAAGGATCCAGTTTCAAAGCTTTGACGCACAAGCCCTTTTCATCGTACCTTGGATGCTGGACTGACTGCCGTGAGCTCACGATTTTTCCTGACTTTTTGCGGGCAAGCTCTGAGACTGTGGCTCTTCGCCAAGCAGGTTGACAGTCCGACGAGAACCTCGTGGAGGCGTGCTGCGAAGACCGCAAAGAAACCCAACAGCAAACCGAAAAGCAGGCGGTGCTGCTGGGTCGCCCAAACAGCATGCCAATTCTGCATAAGCCTGACCTCAGCCGCATCACCAATGCCTGTCCTGACCTTGTACCAGTACTGTACATGCAGGTTATGGCCCTTCTTTCGTGTTTCTAAGTGGACTGCCCCTGCTTGGGTCGAGCTCGATGGCCTTGGCAGTTAAACGTGGTTAACATATGGCTGAGGCCTTCAGCACTTGCTCTTGTGTGATGCTGAGCGTTCCGCTTCTCGAAGCGCATCGAAGGCGCAGACCTAATTACACAAGCATCGTGGAACCAGCTGCTCACTTCTGGCTGCAACCCGGCGTTTGTGGTCATCTGCAAATGCACGCCATCTCAGGGGATGAATAGTGAAGTTTATGAGACAAGAACTAGCAGCTCCCAGGAAAACTATGATACTGGTCTCTATCAGCGAGGGAAAGGCAGAAATTTTTCAATGCATGACCGCCATGCTCCATAAACAGCGAAGCCAGGCACAGCCTTTTTCACTCGAAGCTTCTGCTTGTTTGCCGAAGCAGCAGAAACTAAGGGCGACTAGAGTGTACGAAGCCTCTCCCTTTGGGATGCGGCTGCTATCACCTTCCCAGAAGTCCATGAGTCCATACTCTGCTTGCAAGCTGCATTGTTGGATCCGCCTGTCATGGATCTGGACAAGGACAAGCTAAAGTCTTGCGACACGTGATCAAATCACTACGCTATCATCACTACACTACACGAACCACAACCGCCACAACCCATCATAACCCATCATTTTGTGAGACGCTTTGTCAAGGCCATCCTCGGCTCGTGGCGACTCGCAATGCTCGCAGTGGGGAGTAGCATTTCCCAAGTAATACTTGTACGTGGAACATCAATGCTTTATGGCTTCGGTGCACCTGCAACAGCAATCCTCATCTGCCCACACGTGATTTTACAAGGTTCTGTATCAGCTTCATCGTGAACAACTCCACAAGCCTACTTGCTTGGCGCAGCGGCGTGTGTCACTTCATCCAGAATCCGCCGTCCGGACGCCTCTTGAAGCCCCACCTCACCCCAGGCTGTATTTAGGACATACAGCTTGATATTGCGAAGCGGGAGGGGTGAACCATTGCCCGCAAATGCAAGCAAGGTGCTTGGCGTTCCAACGAAGCTGCCCGCAGTAGTCATTCTTGATAGACTGGGCATCGGCATTCAATATGACGTGATCTCATGCGACTAAACCATTTACATGCTCAAACGTTCTGATGTGCTCTCGTGTAGCTCCTTATCATAACACACAAGAACATATTTCGGAAGATTAAGGCATTCACCACTTTCCCTTTCAGCACCGGCGATCCCACATGTTTCGAAAGAATGAGGCACATGAAGAAGCAAGTTGGCCATTCCCGGCAGGCAGCATCTTGCAAGAACGAGATCGTAGACGACATGGGGTCGTGCAGCCCCCCTTAGAGTACACGCACACGATGAGCATCCCAACATCCAACCTCACTCATGCAGGATGTGATTGTCAAAAAAAGGAGTTCCGCGCGCGAAGTAGGTGAGGACATCGGCGACATTACCGATGACGCGGGCCTCGAAATGCAGGCGCCAAGCAACGATTAAAACTATGCAAACGCAGCTGCGAACCCAAATCCCAACGACCAGTCCCTGCACCTTGGTAGCAGCATCAATACCCGGGCCTTCAAAAAGATGCTTTTCATGCCGAGGTGCATCAGCGAGGGCAACTCCTTCAGCTCCCAAACAGGCTTGAAGGGTGCGCTGCTTGCCGGCACGGCCTTATTGAGGCTGTCATGATCTGGTGGGACTTTGTGCGTGCAGTGAGTGAATAACCAACACAACACGTCCAAGTCGCGCTTGGGCCGAGAGAGAGGCCAGACGGCGCGGAGGCGGACCCTGATTGTCAATGTCTGTTAAACAGCTGCGTTTAGTTCATGAAGACGCGCTTCTTATGGGCTGTGCTGGGCTAAAGCGGTTGGCTTCTTGCAGCACTCCACGAGAAAACAACACTGACAGCGTCACTTGTGACCCCTTTTGTCTACAAGACATCGTTTCTACTAGTTGCTGTACTTCGGACGCCGACATCTCAGCCGACTTGTGGCTTCTCCAGGTTAGCCTTCAAGGTATATTTTTAACAGCCCTTGTAGGGCTTAGGGTCTTGTCACTTCCCACTCCTCTTAGAGTTGCCTGAGCTCGATTCCAGGTTCGTAGACTTGAGCAATTTAAGAAGTAAGGGCTTGCCGATCCAAGTCATCAACCGCCAGCTTGGGCCCATAGCTTCCATAAGAGGCTGGACGACTTTGCGCTACGACGCTACGATGACTTGGGCTTGTTTTTGCACGAGCTCTTGGCAAGTTCTAGCTTCCCCACACTTACCGGATGCAGCTTGGATTCTCTCCAGCGGCAGCTTGTTTTCCAGTAGTCTTTGATGCCTCCGGTTCTTCTGTAACGTGGATGATAGGTGCATGTCTTGCACGCTGTGATCCTTGGAAGCACTGGCAAGGCGGTCAAACAAAACATAACTCAACTGCTACGGAACATCTTTTCAACATCAGTACTGCATTGGACGTTGTGGGAGTGCCAATTGACGGCAAGTCTCATGGTGTGCTTCCCTCAGCATCCTCTTTGCTCGGACATCCCAGCCAATGTGCTGGCGCTTGGCATGCCTCTGCTATGATTCGCGTATATCAACTCTCTTTTGTGGTTGTTCTTCTTCTTCTTTTTCTTTTTCCATCCTTGTCTGCTCCATAGCATGGAGCGGGTTGCCCCGAGCACTGTCAGACCCGTTTGAGTTCAGCGGCGACCCGCAGGGCACTGCGTTTGCCGTCAGCAACAGCCCAACGGACATGGCAGGCGGGCGGCGCTACCTTACCAGACCTTCTTTGATTGGCTGCCTTGAGCCAGCGATGCAGAACATCCTTGTCTGTAGCAAAAAAATTGCACCTTTCATGTGAGTGGCAATTATGGTCAATGAGTTGCGGGCTGGGTCTGCAGGCTCCTCCTGCAAAAGCATTGAGTCGCTAAACTTACTAAATGCAACTTACCGATGCTGACTCGCTACCTGACACAGGTCAGCCGATCTACATGACTGACCCTCGAGCCTCGACGATTGACAGGTCCTTGTGCTGGATGACTTGCCATCTCAAGGAGGGCAGCATACCAGTGTGTTGCTGGTGAGCGCCGTGCATACTGCCCTATGCAAGATACGTTCCCCCTCGCCTGGGACCATCCTTTGCCAAAGCGAACTGTCGACAGTCTGAGCCCATGCCATCTCTTCTGATGAGTGCGGAGACACGTGCTGATGAAGCGGAAAGCTCATCAGCCCAAATGTCTAGGATGCTGTCCTGGGTGAGATGTGCAGATTTCAACGAGTCATCGGTCGTTAGGAACTGGAAGACCAGATTGCGAAGCTCGTCTTCGCCACCAAGGCCCGCAAGACTGATCGAGTGCCGCTTTGCACGGGCACCCTTGGAGTTGGGTGAGTCGTTGGACAGCTTGCCTACGCCTGCAATGCCCACACTTGTGGGTTCCGGATCTTCCGGGTGCTGACTGTGACTGCTCCAGAGGAGTCGCACGTATAGGTCCTGCAAAAGGCATGCAAGAAGGAACAGTAAGCGGGCGCGAAGGGCTTTGGGATGTTTAGGGGGTTTCCAGACGGGGTTCTGGATCTTTTTTTCAGTGCCCCTTTATGTCCCTGGAAGTCCTGCAGTTGACGCCGGGTGGATAAGTGCCTCTGCTGGGCTTGAAACAGCGCATCCAAGTCGCTCCGAAAACCGATCAGCGAGTCGCGCAGGAGGAGCAGCGGCTCAGGTGGTTCAGACTCAGAGGGCTTTGCAGCCAGTGGGGCCATGAGGCAGACACCGTTCCCTTTCTTCCAATTTTTGAGGTGCTTTGGGGAAGCTTAAGCATCGTTGTGATTGCAGCCCAGCAGCCCACACTTCAATTGTTTCTTGCAGGATGCCCTTGGACTATGCCGCCCTGTATATCTTGGCAATACTTGGCAACGCTTGAGGATAGTGATGCTGACCAAGCTTTGTCACGCTTTTTCATGTGCAAACAAGAAAGAGAATCTCTGCGCGGCATCAACAAATATACCGAGCAGCAGCATATTTTAACTAAAGATGGAACGCCAGGGAAACAGCTGCAGCTTCTCCAGTCTGTCGGCTGGACCGCATGCGAAGTGCTCACTTTGAGCATCGCCGGAAAATGTCTACAGCAGCAGTACGCTGACCCGTGCGACATGGTTATTTGGACATTGGCATCACTGCCTGGAAGAGCAGCACTCGCTCCCGATTCAGCTTGCAGCCCATACCCGAATTGCAGGTCACACTGACAGATGCTGACAGAAAGCAGGACATGCAAGCACGTTCTGGGCACTCGAGCCTTGCAGCTTCAAACGTGCGCAGGGTAATTCGGTGTATGAGCGTGAGTCCAAACCTGCAGAACACGCTCTGGCGCTGAGAGAAGTTCAGCGGATGGAGTTTCTTGAGATCTCTCCACATGTCGAACATTGCGGACTGGCTTAGAGTATCTATTCTAGAATATCTTGGTGTCATGAAGCGATGCTGATGAGTCCCTTCTGAGGTTCCGTCCTGGCGAGGCCTGGTGCCAAGTCAATGGTTGCGATTGCCATCACTGGCCGAAGCTGAGAAGCTTCCAGTACAATTGAAGCCGAGGCACGTCAGCCGTTGAAGAGCCATGCTCCCGAAATGCTGGGTTGCGTTGGCGCCGGTGGTGAAGCTCAGGTACGAGCACGTTGCACAGGCAGACACGCGCAACCGCACTATCTTACTCCGGCAGTTTGCATGCACGGTGTGCCTCACCACGGTTGGCTCTCCTGCACAGAAGACCCAATCACAGGCTTGCGGGGGGATTTGCAGTTTGATGACATTTGATGACATACTCTAAGCTGGAGTGCCCTGAAGAAGCCCTCCAGCGTCCCATGGGGCCCATCATCTAAAAAAACAAATCCGTTCAGCGCCACAACTGCGCTTTGTCAGAACCATGCAAGATTTCTTGGCCCTACCCCTCAACTCTATGGAAGCTCTGTGAGGCACTTAGTATGTCTTAGCATGTACGCCGTTGTTGCCCTCTCCTCTGAGCGGTCTGAGCTGCAAGCTGGGGGAGGCAGTGTACATTGGTGCAACCTAAGTGCCGCTCTCGTGGCCGAGAGCACATTGAAGGTTAATGACATTCAGGCACACAACGGTTCCAAGACTTGTCTGTCAAGGCTATGACGGCCTGTGGAGGAGTAGTCCGCGGAGTTGCCAGTTTCGCAGGACTGTGGGCCGATAGTGGAGCCTGGGCAGGTTGGCACAACGCGGCCGAAGGTAATTGGTGTGACCTGCTCGATCTATTCCGGTGAAGGCTGCGGCTGCTGCTTGGTGCGAAAACGAAACCTGAGTGGCGATGTTTGGAGATGTTCTTGCTGAGGATTCAAGCTCAGTGCCGGCTTGGTATCCTTGACTAACTCTGGTAGACGTGGCTGTGAACACAAGTCGCGGGCAACTGCAGCAGGCAGCTGCATGCTGCCACCCTGAGGAATGGCACTTGCAGTTGTTGATTTTATGTTGCCTTTCATTGATTACACTATCTTACACGCCGCATGCACCTGTCCAGCGGCCACAGTCGACATCGTCTGAGTGGCGAGCTCGGCACGAGTTCAATATGGTTTGCAGAGCCTTGTTCTGCTCCTGCCATTCATGTCCGCTGTCGGAACTGTCAGGTTTCTTTGTCGGCTCTATTGGGTCTTAGATGTGGCAAGTTTTCCAGCGAACCTTCCGGTAAGGTTTGGGGCCACTGAGACAGCACTCGGAGAGATGCTTGCTTCCGAGTTCCCAGGCCAGCTCATGCTATGTTTTCGCATGTGTGCCTCCCATGCAAACCAACATCCGTACATCTGTCGCTGAAATGCGCTGGGAGTGCGCCGGGCAACACCAGTGAGGTGACTTGCCGCTTCTTCATCTCCAGCTGGAGTTGGGAGTCCTGCTGAAAAGAGTATGTGCTTTCTTGCTAGCCAAAAAAGGACAAGTGGCTACTTCGCTCCTTGCTTTGAAGCTCCTGCCGAAGCCTTGCATGAGAACCAACTACCGTGGCGGATGTCATAGGTATATGTCTACATTCCTGCCTGTCAATCTCTGCATCGAGCCCTTGCTTTACAGCCTGTCAGGCAGGACGTTTGACTTCGGCAGTTTGTATCTCGGTGCGACTTGGCGTCTCTGTGCGCACCTGAGCCTCTGCTCGCAGCCCGGCGACCTCGCCCTGACCGGACACAACGTGGACTCAGGGAACTGTGCTGCAGGCAACTCTCACAGGAGCGCAGCAAAGTATGCTAGTAACCTCAATTAATTCATGTGCGGATGGAGATTCCAAAAGTCTCGACAAGCCAAAAGGTTGCATTCCCATTCTTGCACTCCCGAGCCCGTGCTTACCGAAAGGGCCTCCAGAGCTGCGTTGCGAGTGCGGAAGCTGTCGAGCTGTGCCTCGACGCGCCTGAAAGATACGTGTCAAAGCTTGCTGCAGTTTACCACGGACTGGTGCAACTTCTGTGGAGACTGCTTGCAAGATCTACTGATTGCAAGGCAGAGATAAACAGCAAAGGACACTGTCCATTTTAACGCTCTTCTTCCGACTTCTGATTCGTCTTCAGTGCTGCTGTCGGAGCTATCGGACGATGAGGACGAAGACACTGATAGTGCCTTCCTGGGCAGCTTCCCTGATGCACGGGGAGTGCCGCAGCTCGTGAGATTTAGATTTCCGCTCGCTGTGGCTGGCTTCTGCTTGTTCTGCAGTTCGACAAGGACAGCCTTCCAAGAGTCTAAGAGGCGTGAAGCAAAGCCCGATGCTTCCTTTCCATAGTCCCGTCTTACCTCTTTGACAAGTGGTACAGCGCCGGTGTAGCGCAAGTACTCCAGCATTCGATCGCCTCGAACCGGATACATATAGATCGAGAGACGTCTCAGCATGTCCAGGATCACAGCATCAGCGGCTGAAGTTTTCAGCGCTTGGGAGAGCTGTGTGCAGACGGCCTTGATTTCGGGCATGGATGCATGAATAGATGCCTTCTTGGAGCGGAAGACCGCGCCACATTCTTCTATTCGCATCTGGCGCATACCCGGTTCATGAAGAAGTCCTCGACCTTCCAAGTATATCTTGACTGCGAGCTACAAGGTATCAAGCTAACAGCAAGAAGGTATTGTTTTGTACTGACCGGCCCGCCTTGTTCTTGTGACCTGGATCGGGAGACAGTCTCACGCCGTCGTCGTCTCATGCTGGGCTGATGCGGAAACACACCTAGCCCTGACAAGCAGTTTGTGCGTTGATGCCGGCTGAACAACCCAGAAGTGTCGCCCCAGTCGACAGCAAGGGGCTGAGCCGTCCATCAGGCCATGGAAAGTGTAGGGTGTGTGTTTTTTTTTTGGTTTTCCGTCTTGCTGTCTTAAGCCGCCATTCTTCTGCAACTCTTCCTCTGCGTGCTTTTGCTGCGCATCTCGCTGGGCCTTGCGTCATTTCTCCGGTTGTGCCGTGGGCCTCTCTGAGCCGCTGCGGAGGTCTCCCAAGTTCCCCTTTCTTCTCACGAAGGAGCCGACGAAGGAGCTCATTGAAAAATTTGAAACCCGACAGGTGCCTGAGCTGGCTGATCGGCACCGTTGGCTCTGCTCCAGCAGTCCGGCGAGATGGCACCTGACCGGATTCGTACTTACTCGATACCTCTTCCATCCTGCATATGCTCGGATGAGTCTTGGAGCTTGCTCCCAGGTGCTTAGCAACTTGTGACGGCGTTGGAGTTGGTTACCCCTCTGAGTTTCAATCAACTCCAGGCCTCTTGCGAGCGAGCCCGTGCTTGCCTCGAAGCTGCTGCTGTGCCTGTCGAGGACTTCCGTCAATTAATGTACAAAACCGCGCACCTGTACATCTGGATGCCTGGATTTGCTGCTCTGCCGTTCGCAGCGGAATTGTTTTTGCTGGCCTCAGAACATCTCAGAGCACACCGTGGAGTCTGAACATTGCTTTACTTGCCCCGACAACGATTGTTCGGCACACTGGGACAAATCCGAAACATACCAAGGAAATCCAAGACAGCGACCGTAGCCACATTCATGGTCGCTGCGCCATTCATGGTCGCTGCGCCATTCCGGCGTCTAGCCTTGGAGGTCACTTGACTTCTCGGGATGCCGGGTTATGCTCGGATCATCTCGGATCGCTGCTGATAAAGGGGCGCCTGCGCCACTCTCACTTTGCGATTGCCTGCAGCTTTCCCCGTTCTACCAAGGAAGGCAGCCGGACCGCGAGAGACTGCAATGTCTCACCCTCTCATGCAACATCTGGCATGGATACTTTGCTGGTGAGGTCTACGGCATGGGGCCTCGAGCTTCCAAGGTTGATGGTTGCCGAAAGTCCTGGCTTGTTCTGTGGCATTATTTGAGATATGAAGCTGAATTGGAAAAACTGCATCTTTTCACGTCCATGCCATCTTGTGAGCTGCGAATTGGTCCTCGACTTTCATTCTGGCTTCTGCCAACTCCTAGCACAACTACCGGCTGGAGATAATGTATGCGCAAAGCGATGGGAACTTGGTGCATGCAGGACGCAACTTTGGACAGGACCAGCGTCAGTACTCGCAAACCGCCCTACTGGTATGCATGTTATATATATATATATGTATAACTGTATCTGTATGTCTGTATGTCTGTATGTCTGTATGTCTGTATGTCTGTATGTCTGTATGTCTGTATGTATGTATGAATGCATATGCACATGCACATGCATATACATATTCATATATACATATATATATATATATATTTATATTTATTTATATTTATATTTAGATGACATATGTATATGTTTGTCCGCCGACCCCCAACCAGGGGGCGGCGTCAGTGAAGACCCATTTTTCCTGCCAACCCACCCAGACGCCCGCCGCCCACCCCGCCATTGCTCCGTCATGGCTCCCGGGCTCATGCCCTATGGCGTCATGGTTCCATGGCCGGTTCATATGGCGACCCCCAATGCCTGCCCACCCTCTCCCCGCTCCGCCTGCTCCACCCGCGGCTCCCATGGCCCTATGGCCATGGTCCCATGGCCCCATGCCCATGGCTCCATGGCCCCATGGTGCCATGGCCCCAGCCCACTCCCCACTCCGCCCGCTCCGCCCTTCCAACCCGCCCCACCATGGCTCCCATGGCCCTATGGCCCCATGGTCCCATGCCCATGGCCCCATGGCCCCTCGACCCTATCAGCTGACTTTATAAGCCTCCAATGCCTGCCCGTCCTCTCCGCCCGCTCCGCCCACTCCGCCCTTCCAGCCCGCTCCGCCCCACCCATGGCTCCCATGGCCCCATGGTGCCATGCCCCCATGGTGCCATGGCCCCACGCCCCATGCCCTTGGATCCTCGACCCTCTCAGCTGACTTTAGGCCCCTGATTTGCTCCGCCCGCTCCGCTCTTCCCGCCCGCTCGGCCCACCCCACCCATGGCTTCCATGGCCCCATGGTCCCATGGTCCATGGCTGTTCGATTCTAGCAGCTGACTTTAAAGGCCCTCGGTGGTGGCTCAGCTGACTTTATAAAGGCCCCCAATGCCTGTGCCCGCTCCGCCCGCTCCGCCTCCCAAGTCGGACTCTCTTGGATCTGGGGTCGGCGGCACTGGCGGTAGCCATTAAATCGGGCAGCGCGAGGTCCCCAAGGACCGAGCATTGGCGGACCTTTTAACCCGGGTCGTCCCGGGAATAGCCTTGCTGGCCTCTGGCCTTCTGCGAAGCAGAATTAGGCCGGACGCCAGTGCCGCCGACCCCCGCGTGCCGCCGGTGAACGGTTTTTTTTTTCGTGGTTTTTTGCGTCGCCACGGAGGCCCCCAGAGGGCGCGCATCATGAGCATCAGCGGGTCCAGCCCGGGACCCCCAGGCGCGCATCAGGAGCATCAGCGGCTCCCGGGGCGGGACCCCGGCGGCGCATCAGGAGCATGATCGGGCAGCGCGAGGTCCCCAAGGACCGAGCATTGGCGGACCTTTTAACCCGCCGGGTCGTCCCGGGAATAGCCTTGCTAGCCTGCGGCCTTCTGCGAAGCAGAATTGGGCCGGACGCCAGTGCCGCCGACCCCCGCGTGCCGCCGGTGAACGGTTTTTTTTCGTGGTTTTTTGTGTCGCCACGGAGGCCCCCAGAGGGCGCGCATCATGAGCATCAGCGGGTCCAGCCCCGGACCCCCAGGTGCGCATCAGGAGCATCAGCGGCTCCCGGGGCGGGACCCCGGGGGCGCATCAGGAGCATGACGCCCCCCAAAGGGCGGGCATAAGCGACGTGTCTAAGCCCGGGGCTAGGAAAAAGGGAGTTTAGGGGCCGCCTTATAAAGTGCTTAGAAACTTAAAGGGAATCTAGGAGCCTCAAACGCTTAGAGATTTGAAGGGAGTTTAGGGGCCTGAAAATGCTTAGAAACTTTTAGGGGGTTGAGGAGCCTCAAACGCTTAGAGATTTTAAGGGAGTTTAGGGGCCTCAAACTGCTTAGAAACTGCTCGCCCCGCGCTTCTGCCTGCGCTGCCCGCCCATGGGCGCAGCCCCTTAAAATAATATTTATGTTTATGTATCTGTATATATATATATATACACATATGTGTATGTTTCTGGGGCGACTGGATTAGGCTACTCAGCGAAACATCCCGCTATCCATGCACATCACTTATTCTCAATCACCACTCGCGCTGGTGTCTGACCTTCCTGTAACCTAGGCTCAGACCTCGGAATTGCTTGAGAGAGGTTTCACTTCCCCGAGGACAGGTTTCACTCCTGCCCTAGGTTCTAACGGTTGCGGCCATACCCCGAACCGCACACCACGATTCGAACACCTGCAACACCGTCGCAGTTCCCTGCCCTGCCCCAAGCGCTAGAAAAGAGGACTATCCAGTTCGCCCGGTGACTCCACGGGAGGCCGGGCGACCAGGGTGGGCTGGGAGGGTCGCAACGTTTCCCTGCCTTTTTGGGTCAACTCCCGGGCTTGTCCCAAACACCAGCAATGCCAAACGACATGTGTGCACCCAAACCGGCCAACCACGCAGTAATGTACACCCCCCACCCTCCTATGTATCTCCCCGCCCCCATGGCAGAGCACGGCCTCTGCCCCTCCCAAAAGCCGACATTGGAGGCCCCTTTTGGGTTCACATAAAAGGTTCCGTACTGTATTGGGGGCTCTTACAAACATGGGGTGAAAATGAAGGTCAGGGGGGATAGGGGGCGCGGGGATTGAAATCTAACCAAAAACATGAGCTGAAGAGGAAGGTCAAGGTACGGCGCGGGGGGGAGAATCATGTTAGATAGTTACCTGTCTCTTCAGGGCACAACAGGTTCCACACCATGGGGGGGCGCGTGGTATGCTGGATGTTCCACACCGCAGGGGCGCGGGGTAGGACGGGTGGCCGGTCGCATGTCGTGGAGATCCAAGGGGTGGGGGGTGGGATACCATGGGGGGGACTCCATGGGATACCGTAAGGGGGGGTGGAAGCCTTGTACCATATATACATGTATACATGTATACATAAATACCTCTATGTATACACACATACATACTGATAACTGATACAAGCAGAGCACTTGAAACATCCGCAGCAACTGTCAATTTCTCACATCCAGCTTTCAACAAGTACGTCACCATGCCTGATCTTCGAGATCGGTCGCTTGCGACAGAGGATTGGCGATGTGGTGCCTGACAGGCAAAGGTGAAACGCAGCGGGCGTGTTGTAGAGCCTCTGACTCAGCGGTCTCCCGCAACCTCTCTGCATGCACCGGTAATGTTTGGTGGCATTTGGAGGTTTGCGGACATCCTTCAACTTCAGCCGTTACGTCTGCAAGCACCATCCCGAGATGTCCCGAGGATTTCCTCGTTTCCCCTCTGAGTTGCTTTCAGCTTTGCGGCTTTGCGTTCTTGTTTCTCAGCGGCGCCTTCTCCGTGCGGCTCGGGCGCTCGCCCCGCTCGCTGCGCTCCCGCGCTCCGGAGGCTCCACTTCTGCGTGCCCTCGGGGAATCTCTCGGAGGAAAACGTCTCCACGGCTTTGAAGGGGATATCTCAAGGAAATCTTTCTGCCCTTCAGAGATAGCAAAAATCACAACAACAGTAATAACCGTACTGAATAAAATGAGAAATAATAATAGTATCGCCTTCAAAGAAGAAGCTTCTGGGCACGCGACGCAGAGGCGGAAGATGCGGAGGCCCGGCCTCGGACATCTCGGACAGAAAAAATCACCGACAAAGATGTATTACTAGTAATATTGTTATTATTAAACATTTCTATGAGTACTATTATGATTATTATTTACTATCATTCCTGTTTCTTATTACTATTCTTATTCTTATTATACTTAGTATTATTATTATCACTTCACGAATGCAATGTATCTCTCTCCCCATTTCTCCCCCTATCCTGCTGAGCTCTCGACAATCGCTTTCACCGAGGTCGTTGGCCTCTCGAACGAGCGCAGACAAATAGACAGGGCTGAGATCTTATGGGCGAAAGAATGAGGGGTCACGTGAACGCAAGGCGGCCTCTAGCTCACGTTCCAGGTGTGACCTCGCAGATGACAACAATGACTGTTATCCCTCGTTGCTGAAGTGCTCTGCCTCTTGTCCCAGCGTGTGACCTTTTGTAGTTTCTTGCTCCCTCATTGTCGATACTACAATGGTCAAGGGCGGAATGCCCTTGTAGCAATCTGTACGGCTGTCATGGCATGAGTGCATGCAACGTAGATCATTTCCTGTGCCCACGGGCACTGAAAAACTCCTGCTTAAATTCTTCAGGAGACCGACAAGGTATTCAAATAATAGATGCTGTTACCACGACTTGCGGTATCAGCCTGGCGGCTTGGAACAAAAAATTGTGCCGCTATGGGTGATCGCCGCATTACAGCGCATTGGCTGTCCTAGAATGCTGGTGCCAAAGGCACACGCCAACAACCCCTTCAGTGTCTGAGCTGCTGGTCGACTAGTCGCTTGTAGTGCCCGTCTGCTTTCTTGAGTAGGTCGGTATGCTTTCCTTGTTCCACGATCACACCACCCTCGACCACACATATCTTGTCTGCCCTTTGGACTGTTGACAGCCGGTGTGCGACGATCACTACGGTCATGTCCTGCTGCGCCACCAAGTTGTTGATGGCAATCCTCAGTGAAACAGTGACAGTATTTGCCCAACTCGATTCCTAGAGCTTGCGCCGCTTACTCAACACCAGTCCCAAGGCTAGCTGCATCTAGCTCAAAAGCTGCCTAGACCGCCTGAGCACCTGCAGCCTGCTATTGGATGATGATCTATAATTCTATTATAGAATCTATCTTGTCTACCAGCATGTAGTTTACCATTGCACTCCAGTCCATTGAGGTTTTTGCAGCGTGTTCAGGCTCCTTCAGCACCAGCTTTCAATCTACTGAAGTCAACGCGATTAGGCAGTCACCTGTTGTTCATCGTCTCCTGTCGAGCATCTGAACTTGTAGCTCGCTTTCTGCATCCAGTGCGCTAGTAGCTTCATCAAGGAGCAGAACCTGCGGCTTGCGTACCAGTGCCCGAGCAATTGCGATGCGCTGTTTTTGCCCACCAGATAGTTGCACACCTCGCTCCCCCACCTCTGTGTCATAGCCATGTGCCATTTGTTGAATGAAGTTGTGAGCATTCGCAAGGCAAGCTGCTTGCACCACATCAGGTGACAGGTCATTGCTGCGGGCCGGGTGGTCTTCGGGGAGACCATACAAGATGTTCTCCCGAATGCTGCATCCGAAGAGGACGGGCTCCTGGTTCACGGCACACACGACTTCAGTGAACGAGCTCTTGTCAAAGTCCATGATGTCTTGTTGGTCCAGAAGGACTGCTCCACTCTGAGGCTCGTAGAGCCGCTGGAACAAGGCGATGCACGTGGACTTTCCACCTCCGCTGGCTCCGACCAATGCCACGGCACTTCCCGGAGCACACTCCAGGGAGAGGCCTCTCAACACTTCTCGCTCCGGGTGTGCGGGGTAGCTGAAGTAAACATCCTGGAGTTGCAGGTGGCCCTTCGCCTTCGTTGTGGAACCTGATGCGACCTGCGTTATCTCCGGTTTCCGGTGCACCAATGCGAAGACGCGTGTGGCCGACCCCAGTGCTTGCATGATGTTTGTGTAGATGTCCTTTAGGCTCTAACGCTGGAGGGCTTTCAGGCTTTGGGTATCAGGCCGGCTTCAGGGGCTTAGGGGTATTTCGGCTTTGGGCTTCCAAGTTTGGGGCAGGGCTTCAGTGATTCAGCGTTTTCGCATTTTAAGGTTTAGGGCTTGCCGGCCGTTCTTCCGTCAAAGCGACCATCGTTGTTTCTTATGGCGGAAACGTGTTCCTTGCCGGGCCCCGCGCCGTGGAAGGAGCCGCAACAGTTCTATGTTTTAGGGTTCTAGACCTTTAGGGCTTTAAAGCGTCCGGTGAAAAAGGGATTTAGGGCTTTAGGGGTTGAATGCCATTCTTCGATGAAAGGCGGCCATTTTACTGCGAGTAGAAGTTCTCTTCCGCGAGAGAGGTTTCAAAGGTGCCTATGGCCTATGGTTGCTCTTAGTTCTCGTACCCAACATCGCTGCGAACGGCAACCCAAGCCTTCAACGCTTCAGGATTGCAGGTTGGAGGTTCTTCTCGTGCATCTAAGGTAGTTTCAGGGTTTTAATGTCAAGCAAAGTTTTTCAGTTCAGGGTCTTGTTCAGCGAGCGTATGCTTTTATACGTTCGAGAGGTTTTCGATGTTTAGGGCAGGGGGTTTTCCCACGTGCAGGGCGAGGTCTTCGTACGTTCATGGGCAAGTTTCGGGAATTCAGGGCTGAGCATTCGGAGACAGAAAAGCCAGCTCATGATACATACCTACACACGCAGCACTTCTTGCACCGCAGGGTTCTGGCATAGGTTCCGGGCATTTGGAGCCTGTCACACAAAAACTAGCTCAGGACGCTTGAGAATACATAGAACCTGAATCTGGCACCACATGATTCTGAGCGATAGGAACCTGGTCCACACCAAAGCGAACTTCAGGACGACACACATAGAGCTTGATTGTCGCAACGTGTGGTTCTGGGGATTTGGAGCCTGTCACACACAAAAGAAAGCTTTCGGAGAAATAAAGTCGTGGCTGCCGCACCTTAGGGTTCCGGGCAGGTGCTTTCCCCTCGCCATTCCTTGCGGCCCCCCCCCCCCCCCACCCCAGATGCATCAGGGGGTATTCAGGGCATCGTACATTCAGGACGAACATCTTCTGAAGCATCAGTAGCATTCGCTGTACAGCGTTTGGAACACCGCCTGAAAAGGAGTGCTTCATCGAAGAACTTCATCTCGTCCAACTTGCTGTACATCTCGCTTGCGGTATACCACAAGCATTGTTTGTTCGTCTTGGACAGCCGCTGCAGATGGTAAAGGCTGTATAGTTTTAGGCCTTTAGGGCCTTATGGTCTTACACCAGGGTTTTCGGTCTTTAGGGATTTAGGATTTAGGGCAGCCCCAAAGCTTTGAAAACCCCAAAGCCCTCAAGGCCTGAAACCCTAAAGCCCTGAAGCCCTGAAACCCTACCCTGAAACTCTGCAACTCGAACTGCAGATGTCCGCCAAGGAGTTGAAGCAGCCATTTAGGGTCTGCAAGTAGAACACGAAAGCCAGTAATGTGGGGGCTGACAGACCATGAACGCAGAGGCGTCCAATCTGGAACAGGACGAGGCAATTTCCCAAGTGAGGGAGCATCATGATCACGAAGAGATATCCCACGTACACTTTTGCCCTGCGGCTCTCTAACTCGTAAAACTTCTGCAGGTTGTCGCGAAATCGCAATTCTTCCCATGCTTCTCCTCCAAAGGTGCGCACGGTGGCGATGGAAGACAGGGCTTCCTCGGCCACGGCGTTGGCATCAGCTAGCCGCTGTTGCGTAGCCTCAGATAGCTTCTGCATGTAGTGTCCAACCTGTTTTGACAGAACTGCCACCACCGGAACCGTGGCAAACGAAATCATTGTTAGCTCAACGGAGTACGACAGCATGAAGCACAGCGTGGCGACCAGCTCAACAACTGTCCGCGAGAAGAAGTTAACGTTGAAAGACACCTGATCGGCGACACGCTGGCAGTCCTGTGTAAGGCGCGAAGTGATCTCTCCGGTCTTTGTAGTGTCAAAGAAGCCCATGTCTTGCCGCAGTAAGGACTTGAAGAGCTGCTTCCGCAAGCGTACAGAGGCCCTAGCCCCAATAATAATGAAGCAAGCACCCCGGAGGGAAGAGAAGAACGCTCCTTAACTGGTCTGGGGTTTTGTTTGGAATGGTGATGTAGAGATGCCACAAGATCGAACCTTCAATGAACTACGCCATTCTGTGGGCAACCTGTCGTTCTGTATCGTTCCGTGCTGCCTCCTCTGAAGGACCGACTTATTCTTGCCCAAGTCTTCAAGCACCAGCCGACGCAAAGCAAGAACAATGAGGGCGCATCACAATTAGGCGCCCTCAACCGACGTTCAAAGGCAGACTTTCGGTTCTCGTCTAGGCTGGTCCCTGGAGCCTATTTTCAAGGACTTGGACTTAAGTGGGAAAGACTACTGATGCGAGTAAACTTGGACGCATGAATTTTCATCATCCCATTCTATTTGACCTCATGTCAGCAACGGTACTTCTATCATCACTGGATGTCTGAGACAGTATGGACAGAGGTTCAAGAGTCTCTACTTCCCAAGGCTGTTGAAGCAGGGACTTCAAAAACATGTCACCAAAATAAGAAGTGGCATGTGTGTGCTGGCAAGGTGCCTGCCAAAGCAGCCAGCAACAAGTTGGACAAGGGACCAGTGAACGTATTGACTCCCAGCGTGCCAGATGCCTGACCATCGATGATGACTCTCAATGTATCGGACAAGCAATGAGGAAGCATCGCCTGACAGGGCGAAGCTGCCTACGACACACAACCGACACATTTATTTATTCGGGAGTTTGCTGTGCCTGAGAAACAGCGGCGCCAACGAGAAAGCACAACGCAACTCCAAGCAGGACACGATCTGGCCAAAGCAGAGCGATCAAACGTCGCACTGTGGGCTTGTTTGATGGCTCGCTGTTGATGTCGGACTGGCTCTGAACACGCCTGGATTGCAGCACCTGGGATCTGCATGCGGCAGTTGCGCTTGGGGTCGGTCGCAGGCTGAGCGGCTGTGATGTACGAAAAGCACGCAGCTGTCGGCCGTGCACGTCCAGCGTGGGCCACCTTGTTCCAAAGGTAGGCTCAGGCAGCGAGATCCCCGGCATACCAAATCTCATGAAGTGGGTGCTGTCCGCTGTGACTTTGTTCCATGACCTTCCTGGCGTGCTTGTGCCAACCACTTGTGCTGGAAGGATTCCCGGCGACCGCAGTAGTGCAAACATTGCTCTTGCACTTTTCGAGGTGTACGAAGTGATTGGATAAATCTGATGCATTGTTGCTTGTTCTTACAGCTCATAAGCCTAGGTGCACAGGCAGCTCTTCCATCTTCTGGCACCAGCTAGTGAGTCGAGCCTCGTGCACTACAAGAGTATACTTGTCTAAGCATTTTCGACCTTGCTGCAAGCAGTGTTAGTACACCTGGGCCATACGAGATGCACAAGGATGAGGAAATGTGAAGGTGGAACGATGTTTGGAGAGCCCATGAGAGCACCGTGCTGCTGGCACTTACAGCAGGTGGGAACATAGTGCTAAGGCTCACGCTCAGGTGGAGGCAACACCTTGAGGCTGTCTGCTTTTTCAGCAAAGGGCTGCAAATCGGCACACTTTGGCACACGCATTCTACGTGCCAAGCTAGGCTTCGAACCCAACAGCGCCGTTGTGTTGCAACAGCATCATCCATGAAGGGCTCATCTTGCACCTTGCCGCGCTTTATGACTCAGCGGGTATTAAGTATTGCGCAATGCCTGGACTTTGCACCAACACCCACCAACACCCTGGGACAATGGCAGGTTGAGCTTCTGGGCTTGTCCGCATCGACCGCGGGCAAAATACAACTTCTCTGCCATCCTCAAGGACACTTTAACACGTTTAACACGCTTATGGAACGGTAGTAGAACACGAGTATGGCAATTCCATATACAAAAGCCCCCAAAAAAGCTCTGAAGGTGCTTGAGAAAACTCGGCATGGCTGGGCTGCAGGGACAAGCCTGGCCATCTGGATCTCCAAGACTACCGTGCCTGGAGAGATCTGCGCTTGTGAAGCGGAAGAGCAAGACCGGTGTCCACGCTGTGCACTACTCTGAGCATAGTGCAACATGCAGCTGGTCCACTCCTGCGAAAGATGCGCATCTAGCCGTGCGAACTGGGAAAGATCACTTGAACGAGTGGCATGCAGCGCTCCTTGAATTTTATGGCTCTGGTCAGTGCCGATAACAGATTGGAAGCATTCGCTCTAGGCTGTGACGGACAACCAATCTGTGTGGGTGATGCAAGTTACACTTGTTGCAGGGCTGACTTCTCGTTCACGTGGCAACATGCGGAGCATTGTGGAGCACTCATGCTGGACAAGCTTCTCATAGAGATGCTGATGGGAGATGAGACGAGCGGATTTGTCGGCTTGGCATGTCATGGCATGCCGTGCATCCAATTGAAGCGCCAAGCTTTGTGTCTCGTCAAGTCATAGCCATTTTCTCTGCTAGCAATGCGGCTGCAGCTGACGCTTTGCTGGCTAAGTATTGTACTGCTGGGCCCATTAATGCTGTCAAACAGCGCTGGATGACATCAGGGCTGCCTGAGTCAGTCAGACAGGCACAGAGAAGCACGAGGAAACTGAATTGGATTTCCAAAGCTGACCAACAGATAATCTGAATTCCTCTGAGGTGCGAGTCTGACCCGCGTGGTCCAAGGCGAGGACGATTGCTGCACATCCACCGGTGCCCCACCAGCATCTATGCAAAGTCCTACGAACACATGGCCTGTATAGTCGCACTTTCCAGCTCGTCACATGTCTCATGCATATCGCAGTAGCTTACGGGGGCCAGGGTCTGTCTTGGTTGCGCCAAACACTTTTGGTTTGCATTTTGCCAGGCCGCCTGAAGCAAAGGCCGCAGCTTCCCTGAACTGTATCAAACATTGTAAACTTTACTGTAAAACGCTGTAAACACCGCTAAGCCGCCCCTCCTTCAAAAACGTCCAGGCATGCGCAACTAAGCAGGACACCGGTAGCGTTAAACATTTGGAATGCATTATCATGGTCTGGCCAGCACAATCTGTCAACTGTTTAACGAGCTTGCTTTCACTATCGATAACGAATGGCTGGCAGGTACGACGAGAAGCCGCAAGACACAGAGTTCTGTCCCGCAAACTATCCGTCAGCCCGTGTGGGGTTCTCCGGCGACTGACATTTAGGACCTTGAATCGCTGTGAATTGCTCTGATAATCTCTGATAGCACCGCGTTGACATGTACCGCAGCGAGCTTGAGACTGAGGCGGCTCTATCCCAGGGTACCTGAGGTACAAGGTGCAGGGCGAAGTGCTGTGTGATGAAGTTGGTATCACACACGATGCCTTGCACTTGCCACCAAGATTCATATGTGAAAGCTTCAACTGCACTTCTTGTGGCATCTGCAAGCATGCTTCGAGGAAAACAGCAGTCGACTTCGTACGCTACATGACCATGCAGGTCTACTGTATGCTTGTCGCTTGCTGTTGCCACATGTTGCCGCATGTTCCCCCGCTGCCTGCTTCCAGGCATTTGTCCAGTTTGCTCCCAAGGTCTGCAAGCCATGCAAGCGCCCGACAGGCCAAACAGCTTGTGTCTGTTCAAAAGCAGCAAAGGCAGTGTGACGCCCACCTGCTTGTAACCTCAGTTTTGCACGACTCATCTCGGCTTGGCAGTCCTCTTCTGGTCAAGCTCTTACTTCTGCCCGCTGTCGGCTTGTGCTGCTGGGGCTCTTGAGAGGATGTTCTGGAAGTTCGATTGCAGGTGCTGTGGAGGAGGAGCAAGCGAAGAGATGGCGCCTGACAGATATGTCTGGCCCCGACTTTGAAAGCAAGGTCTGAAGGGAAGGGCCTGCAAACTCCACAGGGTGCTGGAGGGCAACCTGGTAAGGTGAACACACGACAATTCATGGCAAAGTTCCTACCTTGCATCAGCCGTTGCTACAACTCAGGCCTGCGGGTTAGCCTGCACCATGTTACAGAATCCCTGGGCAGATCAGCGAAAGGATGCTCACAAGATGTGCGATGTCGCATCTGTCCATTGCATCCATCATGCACCTGGAATGCATTCACCTTCTCAGCGTCGTGTCTCGCATCCTTCGGAGCACTGCCAGTTTGCTAGGGCATGCTAGGGCTTACGGGAATGTGGGGGAATGCAGATGTAGGGAATGGACTTGTGAAGTTAGGGACGAAGCTTCTCTGCAGACAGGCTCTCGCACATTCGGAGTGCTCTTTTGAACCGATTCTCTGGGCCTGTCATTGCATTGGCTGCGGGCTCGCAGCATGTCAGGCCAATTCTCGGCCGGCTCAGGCGCAGCTGAGCACGAAGCTCGAAAACATAATGGGGGACGAACATGCGTGGGTCCGACCAGGGATGGCCAGTGTATACTTGGCTATGATTCAATCCACTGCTCTGCCAACTTCTTCCAGCGTTATCTCGGAGACTTTGCCCTTCCGCGCTGAGTTCACCACCTGTCCACAGAGACAAATGCAGCAAATTTTGGCCAGCATCTCTCACGAGCAATGGCCCTAAACCGACGAGTTCTGTTGACAAGGGTTTTGATCTTGTGGTGGCTTTCCGTACAGCAAATGCTCGCCGCCTGACGCCCCTTTGCTGCATGAGGTGACTATGTGATTTGTCATGCCGCAGCGCCGTGTGTGTCCGTCCCTGTGTCATGACTGTCATACCCCTCGGCCTTGAGCTGCGTGCCAGGGGCAAGGAGGCTCTCCTTTAGCACAGCAAGGCCTTGAACCTGAACCTAGACTCTATCACTGCACGGTGCCGAGTGCCGAGTGGACTGAACACGAGTGAACTTCCAAGTCTCCTTCTCATTTCCGTAGAACCTCACGACATCTCACGGCATTTCACACGACTGAGGTACTCTGATCAGATCATTCACCTTCCTTTGAGCCGCAGTCTTCCTTCTGAGTCTCCCACGTTATCTCCGAAATGTCGGCAGCTGTCTTGGTCTTGACCGTTAGCAGTGTGCAAGAACCGCCACAGCCCTTCATGAAGTTTTTGGCGACCTCCACATTGGATTCTTGTCTATGTAGAAGCTCGAGCACGCAATGTCTCAGCAGGCCTGCTCGTCTGATGTGCAGCTGCTGACGCCCCACCACGTGATGGTGGACCCCTTGGCATGAAAGCTTGTTAGGAGCTGACCATCCGCGCAGTGCCCTACAAAGCTGTCCCAGCGCCAACACTCTTCTCAACTCGTAGCTAGTGGGTGCGCTTGACTACAGTAGGGATGCGGAAAGGCAAACTTCAGATCTTGTCATGGTTTCTCGTCTTGCTGGTACTTCCACGAGTGCTCCTAGGGAGGCGCCGTAAATGCAGCGAGCGACGGTTTTATACTGATCATAGAGATCCACACCAATGCCACGCCAGAGGGTCCTGTGAAGCTGGCAAGCAATTGTTTTAAAAATGCATGTTTTCCATCAAAAGCGACAACCAGAAGCAACAGCTGTGCTTGAGCGGCTCCTCTTCTGCTGCGGGAGGCGATTCAGTGCTTCAAAGAGCAACCTGCAGATGATGCATATGAGGATCTGTAACCACAAATGCCATACCCGAATGAGCAGCAAATGAGGCCTGAGATACGGCTTGTACTTCTTGATCTTGTTACGATCCTCACCTTAGCAACAGCGACCTCTTGAAGCCACCGGCAGCCCCAAACCCTCAGCTGCCTAAGCCTGAAAAACGCACGTTTAAGCACCTTGTAACAAAAGGCCACTTAAAACCCCCCAAAAAAAACTCCGCAGCGAAGAGGGGCTCCGCAGCGCCGCGTTCAGCTGCTTGTAGATGGCATTCGAGGTGTAGAGCATGATGGCGCCGTAAAGGTGGGATTCCTTGGGGGGGCTTGGGGGGCGTGGGCGGGAATGTTGCAAGCGCCATCAAGTGCCTGAATGCCTCCTTGAATGCCTCCAAGCTTCCATTGCCCTTAGCCATTGCAGGACATGTGGGAAGAAGCAAAGATGACATCTGGCTGTATAACCTGCCTGCTGCCTGTGGCCTGTGCCGTCAAGTCTCCTTCCTCATTGAGAAGGACAAACTTGCACTTAGATCTGCCAATGTTGGGGTTTCTGGTCAATGTCCGAGGCACTTTGATGGGCCACCGCTTTGCTTCTCTTCGTGCTTCTTGCCGCGCCTGTCCCGAGCTAGATGCGGGAGTGCGAGGAGGTTTGAGGCTCAGGGTGAGGCTCAGTCAAAAAGTTCAGGCAAGCCGCGTCATGGAGCTCTTGATGCTGCCGCTGCTGCAGATCCCAGAACCTCGACGGACCGAGGGTAAAACCCAGATGCGAAGCATCTGATGACTCTGTCTCACTGATGTCTGAGATCCAGACAAGCTGATTCCAGACTCTTGGGTAGGGCCAAGGACATAACACCACCTTCAGAGGGCGGATGAGATGCATCGGACATGTTGTGAGGCTTGAGCTGACAAAGGGGGACACTGATTGGCAGAAGGCCATCATCCTCCTTTTCCACCTCCTCGAAGCCCATGCGAAGATAAAACCTAAGCCGCGCACGTTTCCTAGTGCAATGTAAGGCACTGCCATGCAATGAAATGCAAATGCCATGCAAGTCTTCTCCTCTTGCTCGCTTAAACTGCCCATGCATCCCCTCAACTCGTTTAACAGCTGCTCCGAGACACTTCAGCAGCTCCTCTTCAGCCTGGTGCACGACAGCACAACACAGGACGTTTGTGTACACCGTCGTTGCTGCCAAGCCACGTGCAACAAGGATGATCTGCGAATTACTAGATTTACCAGTAGCACATAGTAGCACTTTCTTCGCATGGCTGCCAAAGGTGCCCTAAGCCCCCTTGTTTCGAGCACAATCTCCCACATTGCAATAGGCCAGCCTCAAGCATTTCACGTGTTTTGATTGCGGGCGGCACCTGGAGAGTCAGGACAGCACTGACTGAGAGCTTCAGATGACCTTGCAGAGGGTGGAAAGAGTGTGCACCTTGAAGCCAAAGTCGTGAGGAATCAAGGTGTAGTACTCAGAGGAGAGATCCTGCAGGGCGAGTTGCAGAAGCTTTGGTCTTGGAAGTTCACTTGTTCTCTGGCTGAAGCGATGAAGCCGCGACCGCATTTCACGGTCAGTGTCCGTGAGCTGCTTGTCGTTCTTCTTCGCTAGGGCTGTTTCAATTCGCTGAAGGACTTCCTGGAGATTTTCAATCTCAGCAGAGACACAAAAAACTGATCTTTTCCGAGACGTCCACCTGCCCCTTCTCAATCTGTTGCTCTGTGAGCTTCCCGAGCGGCGCCGATTCACCACCGCCATCACCATCCTGGACGGGGCGCTCAATCAGTCGGATCTGGCTGATGATTGATGCGTTCATACTTTTTAGGCTTCGGGGTTTCGGTAGGGGTGCCGAACAATCCCAATATCCAACCCGATACCTTAGTTTGAGGTCCACCGTCTGTGTACAGCCACTTCACCCATCTCATGCACACCTCAAGCTTGATTCATCGCTGCCGGCCTTCAGAAGAAACCTCCCATTACTAGTAGGAATGTAAAGGTTGCGAGGGGCTGTCCTGCTCCTCCGTGTCCACTAGCGTGTACTTGCCAATGACAGGCTTCCAGTCGTGCGAATCTTTGAGATCCTGGCATCAACTTGAAAGCATGGTTGGAAACTGCCAGGACACTAGGAATGCTCTACCTTGGCTCACGAGCTTTGCTGACGTCTTCCGTCTTGCGCAATGCATCCAAAAAGGTGCTGGGCTCACCAATTAAAAACTGACAGTTCATGGGGTGTGTATGGGGCACGTTGCTGGGCAGTGGACTTGAGGCCACACGTTCCGGAAAGCTTAAAGGGCTCCTCCTAGCAGTAGAACGCGCATTGGCTCCTCTGAAACCTAGAATGCTTGCCGACTCTGACTTAAAAGTTCTGTTGAGTCAGGATTACGGCATCGTCATCATTCGTGCAATGGTCCGAGATTAGAGCTACCAACCATGCCAAGCGACATAGTGCACGCCAGACTTGTCTTTGAACTTCGACTGGCAGGTCAACGTGCATTGTGATTATCACACGGGATCCTCTCAGAAAATGTCATGGGATATCCTAAACCGTCGGCGTGTGGCCTTGAATATCGCTTGAGCAGAGTCCTGTGCACAAGATGCAACGACGGGCTTAAGAGAACAGCAGCAATCAGTTGCTTACGCCCCACAGTTTGATTGTGAAGAGCGTCTCACCAGGCATTGTAGGGCCCATTATGCGGAGCATGGGTTGCGTAACATGGTATCATCGCAAAGAATTCCATGGAAGAAACATTGCTGGTCCTCGCTGGGGCAAGGGGCGAGATTATGCTGTCCGGCAGCGCCAACACGTCCCCAGCGAGTCCAACAGAAGAACTGGCGAAACTGTCGCAACTCGAGCTCGCAAAAAAGGACACTGACTGTGCCTTGGATTTTGTGTCTTTGAGGACTTGTATCCTGTCAAAGCAGCGCGCATATTGGACTGCTAGCAGTTGACTAACTTAGCAGACACAGTCAAGATCAAGCAGGCTTCGAATATGCGGTTCTCCTGTAGAACTTGTTGTTGTTGGCACCGACATTCGTCTGGTTCAGAAGCACAGACCTCTTGACAAGCTTGATAGACTTGATAGGCAGCATCCAGATGTCGGCGATGATTTAAAGAGCAGCCAGCGAATGCACAGAAAAGCCCGTGTGGCATGACTGACGAGGTGAACAATATACCAAACAAGCTCTGGAGGTTCAATAGATAAGATTCTGCATGCATGAGGCGGGGGCCAGTCGCCGGCCACCGTGTAGGTGTCCTCAGGGCGCGAAGAAGACACCTTACCTCAATCCTTCTGCGCTTTGCTTCTCGTTCAAGTTATTGATTATGCTGGCCGAGCGTCCCGATTGGGCACAGATGCGTCCACCGGTCGTGATGTTTTCGCCTGACAGTCACAAACATGCTTGTCTTCTTGTTATCTTGACATAGGTCCCATCTCCCACATGCCCGCGCAAGCGACTGCTGGCCTTCTTGGCGGGAGACGGCGTTGCAGCTTCTGACGGTTTGGTCTGGCAGAGACAGTAGTGGGGCGTCTGCTACTTTTACAATATTCCGTAATCGTGCAATGATATAATCATACAATTGATCTGAAATCCAAACATATAAAAATCTTGAAATATTAATATAGCATCAACAGACTTAAGCATGTATTAATATATGAATATCATAGAAATAAAAACACATTCAGGCAACAAACAAATACAACACACATCAAGATACTGATAACATTGAGTGTTTTATAATGTCGAAGTACGGTAATATAATAGTAGTAGATTCTTGTACGATAATATCATATTCGAGTAAAATGTTGCAACATTTTAGTACTGTAATACGATAGCCTTACATTAATCTAGTGTTATAGTATTTCTATAATTCTATTTTAATACTATAATATTGGCACATCAACATTTTAGTATCCTAATATTATACAATTATAGTACTATGATGTTCTTGCTGTACTCTTATATTAACATATGATGAGATGTCAATATTCTAAAATTATAGTATTTCAATGTAACAACATAATGAAATAACGTTATACGTACGACTACAACAGCATCATAGCATAATATATAACATGAACATGCAAAATAATCATATAAACATTGTAGATCTCTAATAATGTAATAATATAATAGTGTAATGGCATAATGACATATAACAATGTTATGTTAACACTTTTAAAAAGCAGGTCAAGCCAAATAACATAAGAACAGAAAATCATAAACAAATGCAAGCTACAACGAGATGATACCATCATGACATGATTAAAACATGTTAGATAGTGGCTGCCGAGCGACGGTTTTTACCGGAGAACCTGGAGGCTTCTCAGGTGCTTTTCTTTTCGTTCCCTGTGCAAAGAACGACAAGGAGTGAGAATTCAGAAAGACGCCCGCGCTTTCACACACATACATGCACACGCCCAAGCAACTATCTTGCACTTGGTTGGCTTGATTGGCCTTCTTCTCTTCTTCCACCGGAGGTTCCTCTTCCTCAGCTTCCTCCTCCTCCTCTTCACCTTCGTCTTCTGCATCTTCCTCCTCATCATCCTCATGTGGAGGACTGGAATGAAGCGCTGCAGCCTACCGAAACATTTTGATGTTTGTTGCCCAGAACGGCCTCGCCATTGAAAACATCCTGAACATCTTCGTGGGCCACTTCTTCTGGCGTCTGTCCATCCTCCAAGCACTGGGGAAGTACGCCATGACCCCGACTCTTGCCTCAGCATAACCTGTTGGCGTGGCATCTCCCCACTTAACATGCGTATCGTGTACGCAAGAATTCCAACGGCGTTCTTGGTCAGCCCTGCGTTGCAGAGCTTGTAAGTATTGCTTCACCCGCAGCCGTGGTCCTTTGTCTTCAGGGTTCGGTCGGCACCATTCTCGAGCAACCACCTCTCAAGACTGAAAGCTGCGCTGTTGCAACAAAACGTTCAATGACGCTCAAGCCTGCCCTCAGTCCGAGCCTCACAGCGTCGACGTCACCTTTCTCTGCAAATTGGTGAAGTGCCGACCTGTGCATGCATTCATCTGCATTTCTGCTAGTTCGCTGGTACAAATTTCACTAAATTTCATGATTTAAGAGCTGCAAAAGCATGCGGGCCATCTCCCAGCTGGCTGCACGTTGATCAGCGTCGGAGATTCGGCAACCATTTCCTGCACACGGCCAATTCAGTGTTGTGCAGCATACGCAGCACTACACAGCGAAAGCGCATGCAAATCGGCCTTCACTGCCTCAAGATCGTACTCTTTAGCCTGTCCAGCAAAGCCCGATTGGACCACAGACCCTTGTCGACACCCAGCGCTCGACGAGCCACACCTTATCCAAGAACTCATGCTGCTTCGCAATAGGTGGCAAGGCAGCGGCCTGGCTGCTTCAGCCCAACGCTATGCTCTTGGCCTTCTTTTCGGGATTCTTGATGTTTCTTGACATATCTTGGCACGCTTCATTGATGTTTCACGCCTTTGGAACTGCTTTATCCTTCGGAGCCGCTCTTCCCTTTGGAGCGGCTTTTTCTTTTGGAGCGGCTTTTCCTTTCGGAGCCCTGTTTCAGCTATTCTCAACTCGCAGTGATTTCAAGGTCATGATCCTTCACGATGCTCGAGCCTTGCAGCTTTTGCTTCTGGTTTCGCCTTTGGCTTGGGCTTGCTGGCAGCCTCACAGAGTTCATGAGCAGCAGAAGAGTCTGACTCGCGAGTCGCAGCTGCCTTTCGCGCTGGCTTGGAGCTCGAGGAAGCAGCTTTGGCTTTTACCCCAGCCTTCGAGATCGTTGTGCCACGGCAACAGCTCAACCGATCTAAATCATCCGGGTTGAAAGCCTGATGCTGCTCTCGGCTACAGCCAAGAATGGGAAATGGTATGAGCTAAGACTAGGCCGCCTTTTCCAGCACGGCTGCCCGGTCCTCGCCTTCAAGACCATCAAAGCCTTCCTCAGCATGTGCAGGAGAAGCGGCTTAAGCGGCTTACCCATGACTCGTTCGTGGCTTTTGCGCTGCCACCAGGCTTCGACTTTGTCCACAGCACCCACCTAGCCGCTTAGACCACTCGCATGACCAATCGCATCTGCTCTACTGTCATCTGCAGATCAGTGTCACCGTCATTGTGCAGAGTGTCGAATCAAAAGCGCCTTTGTGACGATGTTCTTGATCTGCAAGTCAGTGACGCAATCCAGGCAGCGATAGCTCACCTGAGAAACGCATGGACAACCCTTTTTTGAGGCAGGGACGAAACTTTGCAAACTTGAAAGCAGGGTGCCATCGTGTGATGTCCGTCGTCGCTGCTGACGCCAAGCCTGACCGCTCCTTTGGCGATCTTCTCCTTGCACTTCCCCTGCAGATGCAACGGCGCTGAGGCTCCGTAGAGTCAGCCTTGAACCTTGAAAGGCCTGCCCAGGTTGCTCTACATTGACTCTACATTGCTGTACCCTGCAAGTAATAATGTGGGACTCATGAAGACACTGCGGCTGCTTGTCAACATCTCTTGACGCGTGGCATGGCCTTGCAAGTTGCGCGATTTGTTGGAGCATAGCTCCAAGAATAGGTTGCCATTACGGGTTGCAGGTCTATTTGCTGTGGTATCATGCGCGATCCAATCTGCATGTATTGCTGCATCCCACAACGGGGGCAGACGGGACTACTGGCATGAAAACATGTGCTAGTCTAAATCAGGTATACAAGGGCTTTCAGCTGCAAGTGCAGGGCGCTTGGGGTTGCTCCTCGCGTCTTCCGAAGCTTCGACTTTTCGAGCCAGGGAGCAGCACTGGCAATAGCAGAACCATGCAGTGGAATCTGATCTTTAGCTTCTGGTCCTTCATGACTAAGCACCAGATCCGGGCAAACTGTGGAAAGCTCTTGCCCATCTGCGGTCCACAGACCTGAGTGCTTCGAGGCCCAGAAGCTCTGCAAGGCAAAGTTTCCAGTCAGGGTCTCACCACACCCAGGCGACCCAAGGTGATGCAGACATTCTGCCTGGCATGGCGCAAGCCAAAAACCAAAGTCTCTCTTGAGCCTGGGCCAGCTGCAGCTGCAAGCTGTGGTGCCAATCTTCGCCGGCTTCACGTCAACATCCTGTTGCTCTGCTGTGCGCACCTGCCAATCCGTGTGGCATATTGTGCGAGCGAAAGCTGCATTCTGCTGTTGCTGGTACAATTCGCTACTGATACTGTAGGTCATTTCCATCAACGACACGCAGAACACGGAGGGGCACAGTTGAGGGCCTCTGCAACGTGGTGACAAGTGCGTCTGCGATATCGTCCAAGTAATTTGCCATGAAGTCTGGCCCGACCTGTTGCAAAATGGGAGTCTGTGAGTTTGGACCCATGCAAGCCCGACATTGTCGTCTCAGCCTTGATGCAAATCTCTCCAACGGCCCAGGACGCATTGTTGCTGACCTGAGCTGGCCAAATACCAAAGGAGTTGCAAGAACAACTGGAGAAATCGCAGCATAAAACAGCACCGGGCCAACCCCCATGTGACTCAAAAAAACAAGGCTGGCTCCGTCGCGGAGGTATTCTCCCGGAGAGCTTTTGCACCTGAGGATCTCAAGAACCCTTGTGGCTAGTGTATCAACTACAACAACAGAATCATGCGCAAAGCTGGGCTGAGCACATTGAGGCAGCAGCTGCGGCAAAAATGGTGAAAGGTGCCTCATGTAGGGCCCAATTCTGCAATAGGATGTAACGGGACTTACTTGCTGCGTACTTGTTTTGGGATTCGTGCTCGATGCAATGTCTAGCAGAATCACCCACAAGTGCGAAAGCACTTTGCTTGACCTGCAGGCAAAAACAGCGCAGTGGCTCAGGGATGCCATGACCAGCTTTCTGATATCGAACCCCACCTGCAATGCGCTGTCCTTAAGCACTTCCGGTACTACAGAGAGGAAGTTTTGCTGGGCCAGGACCTGAACCCGGTCAATGCTGGGAAATGCAGGAGATGAGCTGCCTTTTGAATCTTAGGGCGAAAGGTCTGTTCATGCCCAGTCTGTGTCTAAGTGCCTCGGACACTCTTCTTTGGAGTCCGCCAACTACACCAGAGAGCAAGTCGATGCTTGCCGCCATGACCTGCACGGCTGAAGGAACTTTTTGACATGATCCTTGCCGGCAAAGGGCGTGCCGGTTACCTCACGGTCTGGCTTTTCAAACTCGTTGGGGTTCTGCATCCACCTTACAGTGCGCATTTTCTGCAAACAAGCTTGGCTCAAGCTCCATGGAATTCGCGTTAAGACTCTGTCGTTAGCCTACCCATGAATCACACTGATCTTAGCCTGGATTGGAGCAGAACTTAGTCGCTACAGTCTCACATTTTTCTTGACCTGGATCATGGCCGGGAGCCGACTAGGTGCTGCGCATTTGAGCAGCCTGCGCGCCGCTGAGAATGAGACGCGTGCATCTCTCAATGAGCCTTAGTGCGGCTGTGCGTCGATATGCGTGTAAGTGCTCGAGGGCATGACATGTGATGACACACCTCCTGTTTCGAAGCTGTGTATCAGGCGGCTTGCAGTAGGGCATGAAAGATGGCCCCAAGTTCTGAGCTAAAGATGAGAAGCACCTGAGCAAAGTGGCGTGTGGGAGGCTGCAGAGGTGCTGATGGGTGCAGAGCACCGCTGAGCACTACATTTCCCCGAATCTCCTCATATGAGATGATGGGGCGAGTCAGTGCAGGTGTACAGATCGTTCGGGTATTGCTGAATAAACCACTGAGGGTCTGAAGGAAAAACCCAAACTGATACGTTATTGCTGTAGAAGACGTGCATTTGCAGAGGAGTTGGTGGCGAACTAGTCTTCCTTCCACTGCTTCATGCAGGCAAAACTTGCGCAGGCTGCAACCTTCCTAAGCAAAGACAGTGTAGCCAGGGCACTCAAACAGCGCAACAAGTGATCTATCATTGTCTGCAGTCTCTTCGAACTTGCGGAACATTGGCTGCAGCAGCAGCTGCTTGTACCTCGGTCAGTGCAGATTCGCAAGCACATGAAAGCAACTGCCACCCCGAAAAGTGAGCTGTCGACTTCTCAACGTCTAGCTCCGGACCTTCGGCTTTCGCTTCGGGATCAAGTCTGTCAATTTTTTTATGGGAGTCAGGACGCAAATGCCAGGCAAACATGAAATCTGACAAATCGGGGAAAAGGTGCACAACGAATTCGGGAAGCTTCAACAAAGCTCGACAAGCAAATGCAAACCAAATGAAGACGACTCTGCCAGCCACAGTAGCCAGTGAACTGTTTGAGGACGTCAAACACGATCTAGGCACTGCGCGGAAATAGTTAAGACGAAAACCTCTCGCTTCTCTACTTTTCTAAATAGGAAACCTTCACATCCTCTTCATCTTTTGCATATTAAAATGGGGAAATTCGTTTTGTATGCTAATCGGAAAAACTGTACCTTCTTGATGTCCTCCAACCTAACTTTGAAATATCTCAGTTTCCTCTGGGCCGCGAACCCGGATGCAGACACGCATCATGCACGCGGCGAACATAACCGACGTGATCCGAGACACAAGATCCGAACCGATGTTTCTGTCTACACTAGTGGCGTTGGAGTGCGCAGTTCCTCCTGCCAAGCCTTGCGCTTTTCTTCTTGTTCTTCTTACTATCTCCTTCTTCTTCTTCTACTCCGCAAAGACGTCCCCCTCATGGGGAACCCCGGCCGCGACGGCCCACTGCTTCGTGCGTTGCGCTCTCTCTCTCTCTCCTCTTCTTCTTCTTCTTCTTCTTGTTCTTGTTCTTGTTCTTGTTCTTGTTCTTGTTATTCTACCGGGCATGGAGGACAGGGCAGAAGTCCCTGAACCTCCGCGCGCTGGCTGTCTCTCTCTCTCTCTCGTTGTGTCTATGGCTCACTCCCACCGCTCTGAGTCTCTCTCTGTATCTCTCCTTTCCTCTCAAACTCCCTCCCACATGCCCTGTTTTCCAAAAGTCACCTCACCAAACTCGTCCTACGATCCAGGCAGACCGTCGTTGACCAGATCGTTGAGGAGTCCTTTGACCCCGACTTGGCTGGTCGGGTGTGAACCAGCCGATCTCTTTCCCCCATACTCACTGCGACCCCTCATTGCAGATGTCGTATCTGATCGGCTTCTACAGGCGGGCGGGTTAGTGGAGACAGGCCGAAGACCTCCGTTAATCTCTCTTCCTCTCTCTCTTTACCTGTTTCTATCTCTTTATATCTTATCACTGTCCCTCTTTCTGTCTCTGATATCATGAAAATGCTTGAACCGACCCGCCCTCTCGTTCTCCCATGCGTAACCCCGAGATCCAAAACCCCACCCTCGCGACTGTCTGTACTTTTGAAATGCGAAGACCAAACGAATCTTCAAAAGTGACGACAGTTACGAGGATGGCGCACCCCACCTGCGTCATCCTCGTTCGTGACTCGAGAGTTTTCAGGCGTCAGCAGAAAATCGTGGTCTAAAGGTGACGAAAGTTACGAGGATGGCGCCCTACACCTGCCTCACCCTCGTGACCGTCGACACTTTTCAGGCGTCAACCTCCAAAAGTGATGACAGATACGAGGATGGCACCGAGGATGGAGCATTCGTGTGGTCGGTTGCAGCATTGCAAGCAGAATGATGCATGCCCCCTCCACAAGGACTTCAGAGCTGAAATGCGACCTGCTCTTGAGGGAGCCGTGACAACAAATCAGGATATTGTGCAGTAAAAGTGATCAATTGTCCAACTCGGGGGGGTTGGGGGCTGCGTTTTTGGTTGCCCCCCCCCCCCCCCCCCCCCCCAAACATATTTGCGCATGGGAAAAGCGGAATGCTGCAGGCATATCCCCTCCAGTTGCAAAAAATAACTTTCCAGGGTGTGCAACTTTGAAAAACGCACGGAGGGTTGGCCGGGGTGGGCTCGGCGACATCCAAGATCCAAGGAGTGGGCTCGAGATGGATTTCAGCAGCACCCATGCAAGGTACAATAAGGCATACTTCCATGGCCTGCAGTAAGTGCACATCAAGGCAAGCCTTTCCGCAAGTTTCTCAAGAAACATACCAATGCACAATTCATCAATTCACTTCAGTAGCGAATCGCTCATAGACCTTCACTCCAAGCCCCAGTATGCCATGTAGACGAAGCTTCATCCAGCAAAAACTTTGCGTCTAGCAGAGCCCAAAAATCCAAATTGGAAACGTGCTCGAGCCGCTTTAGACAACACCTTAATAACATCAGCAAGCACGAAGTTGCCTCACGTAGACACAGCCCCGGCCCTAAACCCTTTTAAGCCCTTACAAGCCTTAAACCCTAAACCCTAAATCCCTAAACCCTCCAATTGCCTTTGAAATTTCATCACTAAACTTGCTTCAGACAACATCGCCCAAACGGCCAACGAATCCCTGCTTCATACTACACACATCGAAGTCTTACAAAGAAAGGTAACGTGAAGATGCCTCCATGGTGCGGCGCTTCAGTTTCACCCGACTGTGATGGAGCATGCATCAAGAACATTCAAATCCCAGCCGCACGCCATTTGCTCTTCCCACATCTTAGCCCTCAAGACGGACACAGCAAACCAATATACGATAAATCGACTCACGATAGATCGACCTTTTTGTTCAGCCGACAGCATCCTGTCATGCCACGTGATGCACATGATGTCATCTCATGTCGGGTTGCTTGTCGTGCAGGCCTACAGCATCTGCCAGTGTCCCGACAGCATCGTAGAGAATCAGCAGGTTCTTGGCCTGGTCACGCTGAGCCATCGGCAACAACATCAATATCCAACCGCGAAGTTTGCGCGAAATTGGGGACCTGGTAGTACTGGAAAGCCCTCGAAAGTGTCTGTACCTTTAGGAGCAAAGGACTTGGATGAGGGCACGTCTGGCACTGGTCCGAATAAGCAAACGGCAATATCGTCCAGGTATGGCACAAGCAGGTGCCGTGCCTTGCATGGCATGTTTTGTCTAGAGATGGGATGCAGATGAACTCGTCAAGCAGGGAACTTTCAAGATACACAGTCATGTCGGTTGTCAAGCGGGCCAAGACGGCCGTTTCTTCCAGAGTGGCAAAAGCACTGCATGCAGCCTCAGGACCAGCTCAAGCTGCCACCGCAGTGCCCTGTTTCATGAACTGCCTTGATACACATGGACTATCGCGGGTTTACGCCTCCTGAACCCGCTTGTTCTTGTCGAGAACTCTGAGAAGCAGCTGCTGCAGCACCGATCTGAGAACCTGCAGCACGAAGCCGCTTCTTTACAGTTGGAGGCGACTGCCTGCTTAGATCAAGAAACTACAGCTTCTCTTGGACAATCCCCGCCTGCTGTGACTGCGGATTCACGTGCTCGTTGCATATCCAGTGAGAGAAGCGTGCTATTGTCCTGCGTCAAGCCGGGTCGCACTACTGCAGTGTCGGACTGACGAACAGGCTTCCCGAAGCAGTGCTATTGCAAAACAATTACATTTGTTGGTTCCTCTTTGTAAGTGTTATATCAGCGGTCTCATGGCAGGTTATTGGAATGCCGACAAGGCTGTCGAGAGATTCCGCATCTCACTCTGAGGCACAAATTTAATTGGTCTAGGCTCTAATTCTCAACTTTCCCCTTATATACTGCTAAATAACCCAAAGCAGCTCGAAGCGCTAAGTTGGGGAGCAGGGCTCCATCAAAAGGGAACAGGAATAGCAAGCACACGCACATCGGGGACGCAAACAGCTTCACATCTCAATATGCACGGCTCTCCTCTCTGTCTCTGGCTTGGCCCCCTCCCTTGACTTCTTCCAATGACACTCGCAGCCCTGACTGTTTCACTCTCTGTCAACTCTACGAGTCTCATACGTCAGTCCAACACGAGATGCTTCTCAGCAGTGGCTTCGGAGCTTGGCTGAGCCTAAGGGTCGGCCAGTGTCTCACAATGCGTCGATGTCACTTCTGGACACATGTGCGTAGATCTCACAGGACTGCTGACTCAGCTCCACACTTGAGCAGATGTTCCATGACCTGCAGATTGCTGATTGTCATGTCCGCTCGCTCAGCAGGCCGAATATCTGAACATGTCACTTAACGAGGTCTCTGGCCTTGGGCATGTACTGCATCAGCCCTTCCTGTCAGTACGTGCCGCCGAAGCCCCATGATGTTTGTAGCGTAGCAGCAGCAGGGTGCAATACGGCGTGGTCGCACCATGCAGCCGAAGGCAATTGCCCCCAAAGCCAGCACGCCAGACTCCTGAACCTGATAAGTAGCCCCATGAAGTCGCATGATGAATGATGACTAATGATGACTAGTGGCCAGAACAAGACTGAAGTTCTAAAGCTGGAACCTCCCAATTCTGATCCTCCAGCTTTCGCTGAATCAGTGGCAGGATCACCTGGCCGCTCCAAGAAAAATCGGCGCTGTGCAGGCCATGTACTCCATGTACACGTACCGCTCGCGCAGCCTCCAGAATGTTCCCCCTGAACCTGCGAAGTGGGCAGTGCTCGGCGCCCTGTGCCCTGTGCTATATTTTTGCAGACGAGACTCATCTGGGACATGTTGTCCAAGGATGATGCTGCCGCCTTTTGCTCTCGCACAAGTGTAGGCATTCTCTCATGTCGCTCCAAGGAACCACACAGCTCCGGGTCTCTGCTCTGGGTCTCTGAAATCCCGGGCCTTCCTTGCAGTCCACTGGGCACCCCAAGCGCCTCCTCCTTCGTGCCCACCACCGTCCTGGTTGGCTTACGATGGCTTACGTGCACTCAGACGGCAAACACGTCCAGAACCAATCAGTTACTCTCTTGAAGTGGCAGTTCTCAAACTGTGAGTGAAAGCCGCCTTTGAGATGCATTAAGCTAAATCTGGAATACGTGCACTTTCAATCGGACTGGGGCTGAGTCGTCATCGTCCTCATCGCCTCTCTCCTGCGAAGGGCAGAACAGAGAACACAAAGCTGCTTGGTAACTGAGATGACACGCCGGTAATGCAGATGACAAAAGCGGGGTTTGTAGCTTTGTAGCTTCGTGAAGCACCTGGTCGAATCTCAGAGACACACTGCGATTCGATGCACATTGATCATGGCCAAGGCCGCGCAATTGGTGGCTTCGTTAACGATAGCGCATGGCCATACTCAATTTGAGCATGACCAGACGAGATACTGCACAGTGGCACAATGTGATGCACCACAAACCTGAACATGAAACCACGAGACAGGGATCAATGTGTGTCGAATCTTGCTCAGCTCATTCATCGTCAGTCTCACTTTCTTCGTTTGGTGACGCAGGATGAGGCGGCGCCGCCTCAATGCCCAAGGTGGAAAGTGTGTCAACCAATGCTTTCAGGCATGGACTTCACGGATGGATTTGCGAGAAGTCAGAAATAGTGAGCCGAACTATCACCAACTTGCATGCGTCGGCCCTACTGTTGACCCGCGACCCTTCTGGTCAAACTTCAGTACAACCGAAACACTGCCCAAATTGCAGGAACATGGCCGTATGATGGCGCATGCACAAGTACTGGCCACTTTGGGCACAGATGTTGCCTCTTCCTCGTCATCGTGGTCCGCGCCCTGGTCCTGCTTTGGCAAACATTTGAAACAAGATGTCACGTCCCTTCTCGCCACTGGTCACTGTTCTTTTTCAGAGAAGGAAAACTGCAAACACCAGTTCAGGTTGAAGCCAATGTTGACACTATTGCGCAGCAGAACATGTCTCAAAGGATGTTATCGAATCTGCTGCATGCGAACATGAGCATCCACCTCTTCTAGATCGTCGTCTGCTTCCTTGTGCAAACTCTTGCTGCAACTCCAGATTGAACGCTGTCCGCTTCGTCTTAAGTTCTGTAAGCGCCGGACCAGCTCACCTGGAGCAGCCTGAGTCTGCCAAGCAGCTGCCAAGTGAAGCTTCTCCACTTCTGGGATGCTCTGAACCAGATCATTCCCGTTCTGCAGAGCCCGGTGCCTTGCGAGCTTTGGCAAGTCCGAAAGCCAGGCGCCATTTAACCACGCAGCCCAGCACCTGAAGACTCTGAGAGTGAGCCCATGAGATCATTTGCCAGTGCGCTGCCCGCCTGTCCAGCTTGTGAAGCATGGCCGAGTTCCTGCCTCAAAGAGGTCAGTAACGGCCTGGCAAAGTGCTGTTTCACAATCCTGAATGAAGCATGAGCTCTGAAGAGTCCAAAGCATGGCTGCACCGATGACGTCTGAGTACCGAGTCGTTCTCAAGGTTCAAGGCTCTCTTTCTCCCTTCGAACCAAGTCAATCGACGCCACTCACGGCAAGAAACAATCCTGTCAGCGCATTGGCTGATCAGTGATGAGGGCAGCGTGTTTCGCCAGAAGCCCTTTTACCTGAAAAGCCAGACGGCAGAACTGGGGCACGCGGGCAATGGGTAATACATTGGCATGGTAGTGTAGCTTGTAGCTTGTTGACGCGAATGCAGATGAGACAGCTGGTAAAGGAGACGCTTGGAGCCGCACAATTTTGAGCGTGTAAGGATAAGCCGGAGGATCGTTCAAAGATGGGTCCTCTGACTTCCACTTGTTCGCGTACCTTAGGGGAACATCGTTGAGGCACAACACGGTCTGACAATGGCCTAGAGCTTAGTCATATGTCACTCATTGTCACTCTGAGGGGCTCATCCCATTCATTTCGGCACTCCTGGGTCACATGGCAGAGCAGATTCATTGCTGGGGGGTGGCATTTGTTGGATGGTTTTTTGTGGACTTCTCGCGCCTCCAGAAAGCGCTCCGGAGGATGACATTCGAGCTGCTTCCGCTTCCTCAGTGCATCTTTTTGGGGGCCAACGGACACAACTTGGGCTGCAGACTCTGTAGACTTTGCAACTACTCTGTAGGACCACTGTAAGAACTCGTACTCGTACTCTGTGCAAGTCTCTGCTGCGTACTTGCCTTTCGGAACTGCTATCTTAATGCGAACCCAAGTGCTTAAGTGCGCCATGATGCATGGCGGCCTCGCCTGCCCGGGTGCAAGCAACCCAGCAAACCACCGACAGACAGACAGACAGACAGACAGACAGACACACACACACACACACACACAATGCACACACATGCACACCCTGTGACTCGTCTCGAGGCCTATTCCTGGACACATCGACGAAACAACGAAACTGATCGGCCTGAGTTCCAGATGCAGCTTCGGTAGTTCAACTTCAACCAAGAGCTGCCGGGACCCAGGCAGGGCTGTCTTGGCATCCAGCACGTATGCTGGCCTGCGCCACAGCGGCTGGTAATCGTTATATACAAGTACTAGTTTCAGGCGCGGCAGTCGTCTCACAGTGAGTCAGGCTGCCCGGCCTAGAAATGGAATCATCCCGCTTGTTCGTAGGCAGCTGACCGGAGTCAACAAGTCTGCGCCTGTAGCTAGCTTCCAATCGAATCGGGTGTCCCCTACACAACACGGCAGCATCATGTTTACGCAGGGGGCCAAGCGTATCAATACAATGTTAAGGTCCAAGCCAGTCCTTGGGAAACCACATGAGATGGCTTGCCTGCCATATGGACACAGCAGCGAGATGCTAGACGTTGAGCGAATCTGCTGCTCATGCCAACAGCAATTCTGCTGGCCCGGCGCTTAGTACAAAGAAGATTGCACCTGAGCTCATTCTGAGTCTACTGGAGAGCTACAGCTCCCAGTCGCACCACATGCGTGCGAAGTCAGTTCACCAACAGTGGTTTTGATGCCAAACCCATCGATCGCAATGCTTCTCGCGCACGCAGCTTAAAACTTGAAGGTATACAAGACCAGGTTCCCCGCAAGTACTGGCAGGGTTGAAGTCATAGCAAGGATGATGATGCTGCTTCTGATTCGGGGAACCGGTGTTCGGCATGCGATTAGATGCGAATCCCCAACCGTTCGCTGGCTCAGTGTCAAAATATCATCATTTGGAGTCAGCCCGCAACTATACCCGGTGGTCAACAAGTTGTGAATCCAGCTGGATTTAAACTCGTAGTTGCGGGAGCCTTTTGCGGGTATGACCGTCAGCAGGCTTCCCCAGTGATTCGAAGGTGTGACTTGATTTTTCACAAGAAGATGCGACTTAACCCATGCCTTTTGCGGGTCTGAGGTCATGGCCTGGAGACAGGCTGGTGCCACCGAAATTGCTTGCATAGACCTGGGTGTGTCTCAGCCATTTTCAGACGCTGCTGTGCAACCAGATTTTTGGGTGTGGGGAGGCAAGAGTACGTGTAAGTTGGGCAGTTGATTGCAGCGGGCATGGACTGATACTGTGAGTGTGCTGGGTGAATTATCGCTGTCATATGCTGTCATCTTCCGAGCATGAAGCTAAGTGCCGCACACCTGGATTTTCGCTTGCAGTGAACCGACGATTGTCCGTATCCGCCTCGGAGCGGTGCAACTTGAAACTCCCAAGTATCATCCAAGTACCTCCTCCTGCGTGAGAGCGCTAAGAACGAGCGCTCGGGCATGGCTCCGCGAGTTTTCAGGAAAGCACTGCAACCCGTGTGTGCAGCTTCTGAATTACGACATGAGACCCGCGACATTCGGTCATTACGCACTAACCATGGGGTTCAGATGACGCAATGACGCACCCATTCTTCTTATCTTGAAGGGACCTGCATCCAAACAGAGCCACGGCACTGCAATTGGAATTCCTGGCAGGATCTTCCGCGACAGCTCTGAAGAGTTGCAACTTGAATCTCCCTCTGGTAAGCTCGATGCTTCCATGCATTCTTGGATGCTTCAGCTTTGAGTTCTCATCAACGAAGGCAGCCGGCATCCTGCTGAGGGCTCCACCCAATAGCCGTACATGCTCTTGACTTTCAGAAGGCGGTCAACCTGCGCTGGAAAAGAAACGGGCAAACTTTGCGCCTGTTGCCCATGCGGGTGCAAAGCCCCTTTCACTGCCTCCTGGTCTCCGACGAAACCAAACACTTTCAGGATTGTCTGTACCTCCAAAAACTTCAACGAACCTGATGTCTGTGCATATTAAATATCCGTCCGCCGACCCCCCCCCCACAAGGGGTTGGCGTCCGTGAAGTCTTCCTCTGTCCGTGTAAGCTAGCCTACACTTTGCCCAACACTCTTTTTCCCCCCTCCCACCCTCAGTACCTCTCCACCCCCTCCACCCTCTCCACCCCCTTCCACCCCCTAATACACTATTTTCGGAGTGCTCCAAAACATGCCCTCCCCACTCTCTCCACCCCCCCCTTCCTCCACCCCCTCCACCCTCTCCCTCTCCACCCTCTCACCCCCTCCACCCCTCCGCCTCCTTCACCCCCAATTCAGCACCCAGTATGTTTAGAGCGCTCCAATGCATGCCCAACTCTCTCTGCTCTCTCCACCCCCTCCACCCCCTCCCCTCTCTCCACCCTCCCCTCCTCTCCACTCTCTCCACACCCTCAGCATTCAGAACTTTGAGAGAGCTCCAATGCATGCCCACCTCTCTCCTTTCCACCACCACCTCCACCCCCTCCACTCATCCGGTCGAGAAATGGAGGGTTGGCCCCGTAAATCAGGCATTGCCGGTCCGGGCAGCTACCGGAAATGGCCACGATGAAGACGCGTCAAAGATGAGATGGACGGAGGCAAGGATGGAATGGAGCGGGCTTTGCTTTGGATTCGGGGGCTTGTATACCAGTTTCTTTTGGGGGGTCGTCGTCCCTTAGGCGCCGGGCACGATCTGTGGCACTGGCGGCAGCCATTAAATCGGGCAAAGCTGCTCCGGCCTTGGAGCACGCGCGTGCACAGCTTTCCCGCTGTCGCCAAGCCCGTGCGTTCCGACTATGAAAGCCTACAGAGGGCGGGCGGGGGCGGGCTGGGGCGGGCGGGTGGGGGCGGGTGCTGGGTGGCCGGGCGGGGGGCGGGCGGGGGCGGGCCGAGGCGGGCGGCTGGCGCGCCCCTTCCCGCTTTGCAGAACAACTCTTCTCGAGCTTCTGCCTGCGCTGCCCGCCCCTGGGCGCAGCCCTGAAATAAGATATAATGTAGCATCTATAGTATACAGTGTAATATATAGTATATAAGATAACATATAGAATATATCACATAAAAAAATCAGCTCATGGGATTCGGTGCCATGCAGGGCTTGGGCTGCGCACAGACAGATCTCTTCCGGACTGGAGGTGGACACGCCCTGCTGAGAGCCGCTTCACCTGCGCTTTACGGCTTAGAACTGCTGAGGGTTTCAAGACGTCTCGATTTTAAGATGCTGGGAAACTTAGGATCCCCCAGCTGCGAACCTCATCGACGATGACTTCGCATTTGCCCATGCTCAGGGCTAGGAAGTACACATCCCCGATGCCGAATCGAGCCTTTTTGCAGCTGCTCAGGCATGGCGACACTGCAACTACCACGAGTCAAGCTGTTGCCATCGAGTCCCCAGCCTTTTGGTTTATTTGCGCGTTCGTTCTGGCAGTATTCGTGGTGACAGAGTGATATGACCTGTCCAGTCGATGCAATTGATGAGCCGATCATTGTTTCGAAGCAATCGAGGTGGTAGCTTGAACAGCTTTCATCTAGGCTCTCTGCCAAGGGTCGAATCCGATTAGCCTGTACCGAGGCAGCAAGCACCCGCGCGACACTTTGCAGGTCTTTCTCCAAGAGCCTGTCAGCTCCTAGGGCCCCGGCTTGTAAGCTGGCTCCATGCTTTCAATGAAGAGGGAGGCTAAGTGGCCGAAAGCTCATCACTCTGACTCGCACGTTCGAGAGGACAATATTCACTTTTTTCATGCTTGAGGCTGCGACCGGGGACTGGGGGGTCGGACTGGTTGCAGAACCTCTGGACAGTCTTCCGAATGGATGTCCATGTCACCAATGCAACATAACCTGCTCTAAAAAATGCATCTGTAAGTTCGACAGTGAGTTAGGCGTCCTAGAAGAACGTAACATAGCTGAAGCTGCTCCTGCTCAACATGCATGCAGGCTGCCAAGAGCTGATGCGTGGACAGGAGAGATTCGTCCTGCACAAAACACAAACAGTTTACAGCGGTCGGCACAGTAATGTGTCGCTCTGAACAGTTCATGGTGGCTGAGCTGGAATAAACACGTTTCAACATTCAACTTCCTTCAACCCGTGTTTAATGGGTTGCTCATTGTTGTTGGGACATCTACTCTTGAGAGACCACTCCTGAGCAATTAGTACCAGAGTGCGGTCCTGCGGCAAACCATGTAGATCCGTCTCGCAGAGAATTCACAACAGGTCCGAATCTGGGCAAGCAAGAAGCAACTCAAATGTCTACTCGAAAACGATAGCACCGATCATGAGCAGCTCAGGATGCTCAGTCGAAAAAAAGGCGCCAAGCCACGTTCTCCACACCAAAAGCTCCATGCCCAGCAATCATGACATCCTTGCCGCGCACTGCCTCAGCAAGGTGCAGGACCCGTGGCCATGGGTGAACGGGCATCAGCCTCTTTTCTTGCCTGATTGTAGTCAATGGTATCGAACATTGCATACCTCGGGTTACGACAAGACTTGCGCAACTTGATCTACTTCTCAGTCACTGGCAAGAAGCTGCTGTGAAGCTGATATGAAGCTGTTGAGGTGATGGCTCAATCATGCCACCGAAAAGATCCTCTCTGTCTCGACACAGCATGACTGCCATAGCCCGTGTGTGTTATGCGAGCACATCAGGCCTCCCCAACGTAGTCGTGTTGCCGAGGAAAGGAGAGGTTGCCTGGATACCTAAGCACCAAGGCGCGAGAGGGGTGTTTCCCAAGGGGCGAGACTGGCAAACGAATATGCAGGATCTTCGTCTGCTGATGTCCTTTCTTGAGACTTCCACTCGTTACCCCACATGCTGTTTGGCGCGCAGTCACCCCATCGTATAGGAGGCCACGGCACGACTTGCTCGGCTAAGTGGATGCGCTCGCTCCATGAGCGGTTGAACCAGCTCAACGCGGGTGAGTCGCTACCGCACGCGGGAGTTCTGCAGTCGAAGCCGGTTTTGCCACTCGAGGTCGGCATGATCACGCAAAAGGCGCCCACTGTCAGAGCTCATCTACACTCGAAGTGATGAGGGGAGCTCGTTGCCAGCCACTGTTGCTCTTTCAATCAATTCTGTGCGCAAACGCACTTGATACATTCCTTCGCCCTGTCGAAACGAATTCAACCTGTTTTTCGACCATTCCATGACTTGTTGTCTCCTCGATGTTTCCTCTGGGATGTCTTTTCCACCAGAAAGGTCAGGGACACTACGCTCACTACACTGACTACACTCCACAGCTGAACGGGCAATGACAACCTAAGAACCCGCATCGAGCTGCAGGAAGACGCTGCTGACTTGGAGCTGCCTGACCTCAGACGAAAAGTTCAAACTGCAAAGGGGGATCATGAACTCTACCATCTTCTACCCAAGAAGAGAAGGAAATAGGGGGGGCATGGGAGGGGGGGCTGGGCACGAACGGACACCCTCACACACATGCGCATGCACCTTGCTCAAGGGAACATGGTCCTCGCATGGCCAGAGGCGAGAATTGGTATGATGCATCTGAGTTTTGTGCACCGCGCCCCGTGGGTTCTGGCGGAAGGACTCCCGTATAGTTCCTGGCAGGAAAGCAGTGGGACGGCAGTCCATCGAGATCCCGCGAGCACAGGCGAAAGTGAGAAAGTGGCGTAAGCTGCGTCTGTTTGGCTGTGTTGCTTCCAAGGTGACTTCCAAGGGCCCGCTTTCCGAGCTGCTGCCGTTCACGGTGATGGCCTTGACCTGATTTGCTTGACTTGCCATCTTTCAGCACCATCTGCAGTAACTGTGGAGGAGGCTAGGCGTTGTTACGTGTTTATAGCATCATTGTCTGTAGCGAGACTTTGCAGTGTAGGCTACCGAAATGGAAACGGCACTGGTAGAAAAATAAATGGAAATAACACACCTCCCCAAATCTTCAAGACGCGGAGATATGCAGAGTGCGTGTAGTGCCTGTCTCTGAGCTTGAGACGTTCGTCTCCAGTTGGATGTATGGGGTGAGTCCATACTCGAATGATACCTGCAAGTTGGCTCAGAGCGAAGCTGCTGAAGTAGAGAAGTAGACAAACAGGTACAATAATTTCACAGTCGCCCAGTGCTTGACATGCCTGGGCAAAGTGTTCCAGCAGCTCATCGCGCGAAGGCCAGGTTGCCATGTTCTTAGGTACCTGTCCCAGGCGGGTTGAAGCTGTTGAGCTTGCTGAGTCGCTTCCAACAAGGGCACAGGATTCTGCTCGTCGTATTGCAGGTGGTACGTGCCAAGTTCAGTTTGTAACTTGGATGTCTTGTTCGCCTTCGCACTTGGAGGCAGTGACAGGCCCAAGAAAGCGCGCTGTCGTGTGGCCTGTGAGATCCAGGAGGTTCCGCCGACCTGCGCTGACATGAAGGCCACTGTGGACAGAGGCATGGCCACTTTTCTCAGGCCTTGTTCCTCCGATCGACAATGAGAAAGTTGGAATGGTCGTGCTGAAGTAGAAAAAGGCCCTGACATTCCAGCGCTGAACGCCTAGACCCACGTACGAACGCTACTGTATAGAGCGGGCGTCGCTCTGTGTGCTCATGCATTTAAGGTGCGAAATACCCTAAACAAGGCAATGGACGTGCCGGAGTCCGATATGACCAGCTCCAACAATGAGAAATGGATGCTCGTACCTGGCTATGCAGACATATTCGACACACCTGCGAAGAAACTTGCTGTCAGCAGCCGTCGCACTGTGTTCTCTCCGGCTTGAAAGTCCTAATCCCCTTGACGTGCACCTTCCTTCTCACCTAGCAGGGGCCGATCATTCCAAAAGCAGAGGGGGGCTGACTGGATAGGTGAGCACAAGAAAAGACAGAGGCCACATGAGGCCATGCCTCCTCATGATCCATCTGCATCCTCCCAAAAGTTACTAAGAGCTTCCTTGACGCACAACCAACCGTTGCACTTCAGGGAAGAGAGAGGTCCTCCATGCGCATCCGGTTTTCGTAACGAACTGCAGATCATCTGCAATGACTCCAAGCCTTGCATTTCGCTGGCATCCCGACATGACCCCTAGTTGCCTGCGGCTGCCAAAAGGCATCCCCTCAAGCATGTCTCAATCATCTCTGAAGCAGTCGCCTGTCGCTAGTCAGCTAGTCAGCTAGTCAGCTAGTCAGCTAGTCAGCTAGTCATCCTGAAGTGCCTCTGACACCTTCTTTGCACTGCAAGACCCATGCGCCCTGATTCGAGGAGCTTCATCGCCAGGAGCTGCTTCAACTCGATCACTTTCGTGCTGGTGACAAGTGGCACTACCAACACCTGCGACCCAAGCTGCTGATGGAACAACATGCTGAGGCTTTGCAGCAGAACGTGCCTCATCTGAGCCGTGAATGCGCAGCTCTGTCTGAACCTGACTCTGCAGTGGTCTTTGATGTCATGTGTATGCGTGCATGGCATACACGATGCTCCGAGGCACTGAGGCTGAGGCAGGTGTCTGACTGGCTGGCTGGATCCCAGGACCCAGAATCTTATATTGCACCTCAGACAACCACTCTTCCACAAGAAGCGGATGCAAGCTTGACGTAGTGGCGTTCGAGACACTGAAGTCGAGAATACAACGTGCTGAAATCAAGCTCCAATCGCCACAACCACTATCATCAAAGCTGCTGACCACCATCTGCAGCAATTGTCCGTAGCCAATCGGCCAGGTCAGGAAGTTTCCCAAAGGGCGCTCAGAACTGACTTGCAGTGCCGGGCGATGGAGTGGATGAGACAGGAACGATACCCTGTGATGAAGGATTTGAAGCTTGGCCTCTCGTATCCTTTGGTGCCCTCAAAACACCCGAGAGCAAATTCGCCGAAGCGCTCGGCCTGTTATGAGCCAGGGTTCCCTAGCCTCTTCGACCTTTCTCGGCCCTGGCCCCCCCACCCCCTAACCCCAGTGCTACCACCCTCCACAGAGCTTTGCTGGAAGTGGCGACCTTGCCTGGTCGCTGCCGTGGCCACGGGGCGTAGTGTTAAGCTTGAACAATCCTCCCAATCTTGGGCTTTGCTCAACTTTGCTCCACCCAATATTTTGGCTTCTCTCATTTCTCATTGACCTGCTGCGAGCGCGGGCTGCGGGCTGACAGGTTGGTGCGGGTTGGCAAGTCGGAAGACCTCAGAGTGGGAAGACAACCTCTGCAAATGAAGCTTTGGACTCTGCCGGAAGGATCTGGAAGGTGCCCAGCAGTACATGCCGTCGCCCAAGCCTGAACCCTCCTTATATACCCTTTCGCTTTGCCTCTGGCTCGGACCTGCTAGACCCACAAGCGTAACCTATCTGCCAGGCCAACGGCCAATTTCTGCTGCTTGCTGGCAGGTTGGGATTTAGGGTTTGTTAAAGAAGCAGCATGAACAACAAGGTTCAGCCGCTTCTGGTATCAAGACCCTACATACCCTATGCCTTGTGCAATAGTTCCATTACATTCATAACTTCCGGAGCTCATTTGGACCGGCATGTTGTGCTGAAGTCTTAGCTTGCTTCTGATGGGGATTGCAGCTCTACTGGCTGCGTGCCAGCCAACCAAGAATGAAGCACGATTGCGACATGCAACTCCATGCAACCGCGCTGTGATGACGGAATGAGGGAAGCACCATCTCTCTGCCCGGCCGCCAGCACAAGCACCGGGCTGGTGGAAGCGCATCGTTCGATATTATCCCATTTGAAGTTGTAACATGTGCCAAATCGATTTCGCTGTCAGAGCTCAAAGCTGTGCCTATGCTTTTCTGGGTTTAGTCACGCAAGTGCTGCGCCGGGGGGCACAAATGTTACCAACATCTGCCAACACAAATTCACTGAGAAGCACGGTTGCTGTAAAACATCTTTGAGCCAGAAAAACCGAAGCCAAGCGTACTGGGACGGTCCAGTCACCGTACCATACAGTTTGCTGACGTTTGCTGCACAGAGGTCGGCTGAACACTATAAAGCCATGGCCAACTAGCCTGAGAACTGTCCGAACGTCTGCAGTTCCATGCAGATCGTGGGGTTCGTGATCCAGAACCTCATGAGATACAAAGGCAGGATGCTGTAGGGCCAATGACAGTCCTGTCTTAGCCACCGGCTTGATGAATCCACATGCTGCAGTTTTGCTGCTCTGGTGGATGCTCGTGCCTTGCCTTGCGCACGGGAGTTTGCACTGAAGCAGTCTGCAAGGTATCCTATGGTGACATTGAGATCCCAACGACAAGTGCCCTCAGCGTGTCCAGCGTCTCTTGCCGAGACAGCTTTTTGACCTCGGCTTCGGACCGTACTGTAGCGTACTGCAGCACAGTTCAACGTCGTTGTTGGCGAGCTGTGAGGAAGCTGCCACGCTGATGATGTCAGAATTCCGCGGCACGGCACTTGCTGCCTGCAAGCAACGAGATAAGGAAAGGATCGGTTCATGGCGTTTCATGGTTCGCATGTACATGACAAAGCACTATACCGAGACCGCGGCTGTCAGCGGGGCCCAGTCACCATCTTTCAGAGCTTGCCGGATCTGAAGCAGAAGCTCGTCCTGATGAAGACCCGTCTAAGCGAGTTCTGCGGTCCGGCTAGAAGACGCGTCCATGTCCGCAGCTGCCGTAAGACAGTGTAAGAGGATTCCCTTGACAAGGCTGTGTGTTTGGATGCCCTTGCTCTTGTCCAATTTCATCGTTTCATGAAGCTGCACCCAAGCCTCACACACACACACACACACACACACACACAAACACACACAACCTCCCCCACCTATGCGCATGCATGCCCGACTCGACATTCGTCTCTCAAAGCTGCTGGGCACTGGAAGTTGCTTCCATAACACCGTTTTATTAAAACTTTTCTGACGACCCACGACCACGCTCGAGTAGGCGGCGACACACGACCACGGAGCGGCAGGCAGCTCCCAGGGTTGACTGGTACGGTGTTGAGTCCACCAAGTAACTACACATCCCTGACTGTCAGCCGGGGTTCGGCATGGTGAGCGGCTTTTGATGTTTATATGCGGATCTGGCGCATAATCTAGCACAACTAACACAAGGCTTTGGGGTATGTGATCTCACTTGAGAGTTCATTTTGTCCTCGAGGTTGTGAGTTGTTCATAGCCTTAACCCCGGAGACAGGTGTTGAACATGTGGGAGCATACTCGCGAAAATGGCACTTCCAGCTCTTTTTTCAGCGGAGTCTCGATCTTTGGTTTCGCTGATTATTTTTCTTGGCTTCATGGTTTCAGGCTTGCAGGCTTGGGGCTTGAGGTTTTAGGCGACCCCCCCCCCCCCCCCACGCCGTTAACGCGCGGGTCGCATTCACGTAATTATTATTGGGGCCACGTGCGGAACTCTCTGGCACTCCCCCTCCTCTCCATTTGCCTCCCCGCCCCCCTGCCGAAAAATGATGTCTAAACTTAAACGCATGGCTCCTCAAGGGGACAAACAAGCTTCCACTTCGAATGCAGGGGTCATCCAATCAAGGTACTTGCTGAAGCTTTTTGCCCGAAAACTGAGAAATCCCCGACCGCTTACTCCAGCCCCCCACGACCCCCTTAGCAGTGCTCTCGTTCGTCGCTGAAGCTCAGGCTCTGACCACTGAAGGCTTGACGCGCACGTTGCCCTTGCTCTCAGTCTTGAGCTTGGCGCGGAGATCCTTCGAAGTTGCCACCATTGGCAAGTGCTTTGCTGCTCTCTTTCACCAGATGCACCATTGTAACCCATTGTCCATTGCACTACCACCCTACATTTCTGGGACCATTTTCTCGCACACTGGCTTTCAGGCCCGTTATCAGGCGACAAGGTGAAACACTGAGTGCCGTCGTAGCTCTGCAGGATCAGGATGATGTAAGATGGCAAAGTAAGCCAGTAAGCGCCGTGTCTGCTGGCTGTCATCTCTTCACAACTGTTAAGCAAACTAGTCACAACTTGCATAAAGCACCAATCACCTACTTAACTAACATGACCTGGTGAGGATCATTAAAGCACCGAGGCAGACTTCTGAAAATGCTCTGAGACCCTCTGAAATGTGCCTGCCGTGCTACCATACTCAGTTTGCCAGCGGGGGTGCCACGGTGATGGTGACCAACTGACAGCAGCCAGGTACTCAAGCATGAACCCCACGATTCTGGAAGCAACACACATCAGCTGACAGCTTCTCCGAGTTCCTTTCTGATCGGGGGCATGCCGTGAGATATGCTGGGTACATCTGAGTACCGGAAGCAACCCGTAGAGTGCCTCTTGGGGTTGCATCTGCGGGAAAGGCTGCTCAGCCCACCTGCCAGAGCTGCGTACCACAGAAGCACAGCGTGGCGTGATATCGTGTGACACAGACATTCGCCTCCCACGCGCGGCGGCCATTCCTTCCATCTTCTTGATCCTAGGAGAGATAAGGAGAGATCTTGCAGGAAGCTTCTAAAAGCTATCGGGCAGTGTCTACCGAGCCACAGACGTAGGAATCGCCTTCGTGATGCGGTCTGCGACTTTCGAGTACTTGGAAGCAGTGGCTCGTGCATCCTGCCAACGTTGCTGTTTCAAGTAGGTGGATGCCGTCACTGGCATCTCTTGCTTCTTTGCCTCAGCCCGTTTGGCCAACGTCTCGGCTTCCCTGGCGTAGAGAACGGCCTCAGGTGCATCCCCTAGAGGCCCTAGCATGGACTCTCTGAATTCTTGATATTTGGGACGCGCCTCGGAGCTGCTTCCGCTCATGCGGTATTGATCGGCATAGCCCTGTGCACAGTCAGCTTCAATTCTTGTTGGCACGCTGTTCGGATGCGATGGGGGATAAGGAGGGGCCTGGAGCTGCTTCATCGCCTGCTCCGTGGCATCGGCCTCTGCTTTCCACGCCGATGCCTTGCGGAGTTCAATGTGAACTATGTGTGGGGCGAATTATGGCAGGCCCCTTCCTCGAAAACTTCTTGAGCAAACAGAGCTGTGTGCTAGACATCTGGGTGTGACTGCGCTTGGCCAAATGTTAGGCAGTTCTTCAAAGCCCGAAGCATGGAATAATGACCTTCTCGTGCGTTCTCTTTCCGCCCAACCGAGGACCCAGAACCTCAAAGCTTAGCAATCCTAGCGTTACGGAAGAGATCTAAAGACTTGGAAGACCGTATCCAAGCTGCCAGAACAATTTCCAGATACTTTCAAACTCGTGGTCGCAGATATAAGTCTCCACATCGCCACTAACAGGTGAGCAGTGAGGTTTGCCGGTGACCCCGCCCCTCCGCCCAAATGGTCTTCAAATGGATTCGTATCCTGTGGAGCAGCTTCAGCCAAATTGGACTGGGCACTGAATTTTCGGAGACTTCAGAGACTAAAGACAGATACTACTGAACACAACCTGCGAAGCCGTGTGCCGTCCGGCGGAAGCAGAGCAAAACCTAAGCTGCATATACCACTTAGTGCCGAACAGCTTTGGTGTAGTCGAGCTGAGAACTCGCGTAAGACAGCTCGGCCTGTGCATGCTAGGCGATGTCGCTGTGCCAGCAAAAATGTACTAGCTTCGGGAGCAAGAGTTCACAGGACTTTGAAAGAAGGGCCATGCGGAGACGCAGAAAGTCTTGCTCAAAGAGTGTTTCGATTCGCCGTTGGAATGATCCCAGAGATGATGATTTTGCCAGTCATTTCTGTAATTATCTGCAAATCTTCCAGGCCGACCTTGACATAAGGCGCGGCGGCTGCCGCGGCAGCCTCGGACGCGCCGGATGGTGCTGGGTCCTGGCAGACACTGCTGTTCTGAGAGGTTCAAAAACCTACTGGTTGTTTGTAAGCTGAAACAAGGCGTGTTTTTCATATGTTTTTGCCGTCCTTCAAGAGCCGCTTGAAGCGGCCTGCTGCTTGGACCTAAGTCCCGAGGAACTTCTCATGCCGGGCCACAGCAATGGGCTGGCCATGCCGAATCGTGCCATGCCGTTCTGCTACGATCGTTATGGCTACGCAGCTCCGTCTTTCTTAGTGCTGGGCCCAGTCAAGCACGGGGCGCTTCCGGATTGCCTGCGAACGTGGGATCTGACCGACTTGACGGGCATCATGACCCTGAAGCCTGCTGCAGCGCTTGGCCCGCGGCTGTAATAACTTTCTCATTTACGGCCCCAGCATCTGTCGCGGCCACCTCTGCTCTTCGGGCCCACTGCGCCTCGGAAAGATCTGTGCCGGAAAGAAAGCAAGAATGCCTCGCACTCCGTTGTCCACCTGGCTCGGTTCCCAGCAGCCTCTGCTTCAGCATCCTTGGCTTCCCTCTCGTATTTGCGGGCTTGGATCTCCAACCTGCCATTCTCAGGCTAGCCGGGCACTAAGTGCCCGGCTAGAGTCTTTGCTTGGCAAGCCAAACCGCCTCTGCGCTCTGCTTTTCGGAGATTGCCCGGCAAATTCTGCAGTGGAGAGAGAGCAAGCGGGTACGGCCTGCAGATTGTGATTAAAGCAGCAGCAGGATGCGTGACATGCTTTCAGTCATTTTCAATCTGGAACTCGGCTCAGGCCAGCACAAGCAGCGCAAACTGCACCAACCAACTGGACCTGGGAGGCATTCCGCACAAGGAAGCTTGGCGAACCAAAACGGCGTTACAGCAATGAGCCCTTACAAGGCTACGATCTCATTGAACTACGAACAAAATCTCCAGTACCGGAGCAACCGGCCGCTCCCCCGCTCCCGGCTCGTCTTAAATTCGTGGCTGCGATGAAGACACAGTGCGCCACCGTCTTTCATCACTTGGTGGCTGCGGCACCGGGTCTAAGGGAAGGCAACTTGCATTAGTGTTGCATGCGCCGCACACTGAGCATCGCTCCGAGTTATCTTCATTGCTCAGGCCCTGCTCATCGAACAGGCTCCGCTTGAGCCAACACATCGAACCGTGCAAGCATCAGCAAAAAGTGCTGCAAAACATGCTTTCCACTTCTCCATGGCGCGGATGACTACTAATGAGGTGCTGAAGCCGAGCACGCTAAGTGCATATGCAGCGAAACTGAGTGTCCTCCAACTTCTTCATCCACGTGTTGAAGTCTTCTGTCCAGCACACAGGCATCACAAGCAGCTTGAAGGCGGTAAATGGAGCTACATGCAACTGCAAATCCTCAGTCCACATCAAGTTCTCTTCGCCTACAGTTTCAGCATCTTCCTCACCGTTGTCATCGTCCCAGGGAGGAAGGCTCTCCAACTGCAAGACCATGTCTCCCTCCGCGAACGAGAAGGATGTGAAAAGGGGTAACGGGTAACGCAAGATGCGGACAAGCTTGGTGCAGGGCTTCGTCGGAGTCCTGCTGTATCCACGCTTTTTCGTCATCGTTCAGGTTGTGGTCCCCAACCTGCGTATAAATCTCTGTTGACCAGCTTACAGGCACCTGCTCACAGGGCGCTCTAGCAGGTGTCCTCGTCAATCGGATCGACAAATTTTGCCGTTTCATCGTCGTCCTCCTCTTCCTCCCCGCCCTCTGGCCTCAGACCCGGGGCAGGTTGGCCGTGGTAGTTCATGACATGCCGCACGCCATTCGAAATCAAGCTCATGGAGACAGGGTGACATAGCCTGTGCTGGGCATTTTAGGAGCCGCAGTCTTCTCACGGTCTCGGAAAGTTGTCGGAGCTGGCCAACAGGCATGCCCAGCTCAGTGGTTCGAGGCCTGGCAGAGGCCTGGCAGAGGTTCCGGGATAAAGAGGCAAATGAGCAGAAGTTGACTTGACATGTGATCAAGCTATCCCGATTGAAACTTGGGTAGCTGCGGCTGTTTTATGCTGTTTTCCTATCAGGAACGATGCGAGGCACCTCAGAACAGATAAGCTTAGCACATCCCACGGCCGGCTCGGTGCCGGCATGGGGTCAGAAATGGAGCTGCTCGAGGCTGTCCATTGGACAGCTTCTGACCGCCCAAGCAGCGGAGAGCGTGATGCCGCTGTTGGACACCACTGCTCTGGAAGCGCCGCAGACAGCTTCGCTTGTCTCCGCTTGGTTCCGTTTGGCGTCTCATGCACCGAAAGTAACATATGCGATGACTGTGCTTTCCTCGCAGAATGTATAGGAGTATAGGTGAAACGCCTTGAAGCCATGAGCTCGACCCCGTTCAGCCACCAAGACGCTGTCCGCTTCCCTGGAAGGCTTGGAAGTTTGCCTCAGCTGCAGTCCCACGTGGTCACCACAAGTCCAGGTGCGGAGGGCAGACTGGAACTCCAAATAAAGCAGCGAGCCGTTTCTGCCGCGGCTATGAAGCATCCAAAATCTGGAAGGCATACATGACCATACATGAACAACAAACAGCATACAGTACGTCGTATCAGAATGCTGCCAGGAATCCGCCGGCCTGGAGTCGCGTGGCATCTCATCACGTGACTCGCGTGCCTTTGGACTACAGAAGCTCACGCGAGTTTCACGCCAGAGAGTCGAGCCCAACATGTGGCAGCTCATCGCAGATGTTGACAAGACCCTGCCTGTGGATAGGCCGTGCCACCGGAGCTCCAGTCTCCGCCCGTCATGGTAACGCCGGAATCACGCACCTGCCCGCCGGACAGTTATGATGCAAAGTGGCATGATGTGAAACGAAAGGAGAAATGACACATGCGCGGCAACTGAGGCAACCCCCAAACTGGCCCCAAGCCCCCCAACCAGCCTCCACGTGTCCCCAACACAAGGAACATGTCCCCCCTCTCCCAGCTTTAAGCTGTGCCGACCTAAGTGTAAGGGTGCCCTGCCGCTTCATCCACGTCGGCTGGCTCGTTCCAGACTCTGTGGCCCTGAAAAGATCTGCCAGGTCTGTGCGACCATGCCGGCGGCACCGGTGGCACATTCTTTCAACAGCCATGTCCGAGCCAGAAGGATGGTGACGGCTTCCGGCGTCATTACGCCCTCATCCACGCATCACGGAGCTTCCCGGAGCTTCCCGAGTTTTCGTTTCAATTTTGCGCGCTTCACCCGGCTTCCGAAGCTGGAGTGGGCACGCACTCCTCTGCGCAAAGCTTTTTCCAGCACGAAGAGTGCGAGTGCGACTTGACATGATTGACTGTAGTGACCGCAGTGACGCTATGATATCGCGCATGGGCACACGGGCGTGAGAATGCTGGGTGCCACTCAGGACTCTCGGACAGTGAACTGCCAACACGCTTGACCGACGAGAGCGACCTTCTGACCTACTGTTACTGGGAAATGTCATGGTCCCACACGTTTGCGAGCACGGCCTCTCGGTATGCGAGGTAGCCATAAATGGAACCAACGATTTGCGCCACCAGTGCTCCCACAGTTGTCACCACCAACAGCCACAGTCTAAACGCATCCTCGGAACGTGACGAATGCCTCTGAGCATGCAACAGAATCTTCTGCATGTGTCGAAGGGTAAGGGTAAAAGTTCTGAGCGGCGTAGAATGTCACCGCATTCAGCATTTTGTTGAAGTCGCGGATAATAAGCCTTAGGAATGCGCTCGAAGGTCACTTGAGCACCCGCTGAAGCTGTCAAGCATCGGCTTGAATAGTGCGCCAACAAGCGGGGTGTGACACGTAGGAGTGTAGTGTAGTCTCGAAGTTTCCACAGGAAAGGGCTTCTCGTTCGATTTGGTGGTGCCCTTTCTACCTCTTCAAGGACAAGTCGGAACAACGGGCTTGAAAGATCCTGAAACCCGCCCTGCCCATCTCAGACAAGTTCAAACGAATCTTCCGGCAGTAACTTAGTAACAAATGCCCCCGGCTTGGTCTTCAGTTGTGCTCGGGTGCTGTATGGCTGCTGACAGGATTATCTGGAGCACCACGGTGAGGATATTGCCTTTGGCATGATGGCAAGCGTTTCCCAACAGCTTCAGACCACATATCAGCTCTGTGCTCAGTAGAAAGTCTCCATGCCCTTGCGACGTGCTGCAAATGATGAAGGGCATCAGGCATGTCATACCGCCCTGGCATTGCTCTGCGCAAGTTCCGCAGCAGGTCCTGTTGGAGCCGACTGTTCAGAAGTTCACCAAAGGCGCCTACAGCCGAACAGCCTGTACCTGAAGCCCAGGCCTCTGAACCCCCCAACTTTGTGGGCTCTTAAGACCGCTCCGCCCCCTCTAAGGCCTGAGCACCTGACTCGTTGCGTGAATGCTAGTTTAGGCGGGCGTGACATCTCGTGTGGCAACCTTTTAAGGAATAGGGTTTCTTTAGGGTCAACCCTATTCCCTGAAAGGTTGCCGCACGAGATGTCACGCCTGGCCTAGTTTGCAATACAACAAAGAAAAACCCTTGGCTTCCATATGCTTCTGTTCTTAAAGCTTCCTCTTCTCTGAGGGCCCCCGCACTCTGGAGCGCCCCGCGGTCGAGTGGTGGACCGTTGGGCTCACCCCCCGTGTATTCGTGAAACATGTGGCCGTCACAGTGACCCTCGTACTTTCGAATCTTAGTCTCATGAATTTGGGTGCCCTTTGGAATGCCACTGCTACTGTTTGTTGGGCTGTCTTTTCTCGCTCTCAGCATTCTTTGCGAGAAAGGTCGCATCAACTCAAATCAGCACGAACCGACGCTTTGTATACCCAGTCCTCGCCAAGAAGTCAAAAATCTTTCCGATCAAGGCATCATCTTTCAGCAGCCAAATACCTCAGACACACGTCGCATGCTTGATTCCGAGCCCACAGAAGCAGCAACCTAAGTGCAAGTAATGCCAGGCCACCGATGAATGTGTTCAGAATCAGATTCAGGCTGGACAGCAACGCCTCTCCCTGTCACCATGGTCACCATGGCAAATGTGTACTGTGGCTGCGGTGCAGGTCTCTAGCTGTTGCGGCTTGATATCTTGAGTCTTGCCTAGCGTAAATGCAGATGCAGATCAACAGGCAGTGCAAAATGTAGGCAAGGTGCTAGCTCCCCCAGCAGTGCTCCTGCAAGAAGCTGGCCGCACGTGCACCTGAGTGCGCTGCTCATCAAATGAAACACATACATGGCATTACCTATAAACTCCGATGTGTTTTGCATCAGTTTTGCATCTGGGTCGCACGATCATGATCACGATGCAAGCTTTGATGACCTGCACGTTATGTTGCAAGTTGAAGTTCAGTGACCCGGATATCGGGTCCCAGCCCAGAAGCGCCAGCGAGCCTTGAATCTGTGGCTGACAAACGCCGGTGGAGGGCCCATCAAGGGCACCCCCATGCCTTTCGTGTTGTGCGGACTCACATCTGCGACTTCAGTGACACTACTCAGTGGGGGAATCACTTGCAGCTTTCGGGTGAGAACATAAGTTGGTGTGTTGAGAAGCACTGCTTTGGCATTTCCTGGGCCGCGCCTCCAATAGGTATGACCATGGCCGCAAGGTGACTGAATGAGCACCAACTGGGATTGGCTTGAGTTTATGTTGAAACAATGCGAGTGTACGCGAATAGCGTGCATCAGGATGGGCATTTTTGATTTTCGTTGACTTGAGGCAGACCTTTATTCCGGTTCATGGGTTTGCCAGCGACGGCTCGAGCCATAAACGGCTTCCGCCAAACATGCCGTAGTAACTTGTGTTGATCCATCGTGCGTGTTTCTTCCCCCCCCCCCTGTAGTTAAACCCAAGAGATCGCCTGACCTCAGCAGATCTACTAAAGTCTGAGTGTGCGAACCTTGTCGCATTCTGCGCTGCCACGTCCAGGCAAGCCAACGAGCGTCCATGAGGCCGTGCTGCAATTGTGGTGAATGTGCGGATGGCGCCCCCTGAAATTGCAGCTGGTTTCTGCGACAGTCTTGCTGAGTGGCTGGTTCTGCGTGCACAGAGAGTTCCAAAAGCGACTGGGTTCAACAGGCTGGCAGCTGGTCCTTTCAAGTCCAGTTCATGTGGAAAGTAAGTTCATGCAAGTTCTATTCCCTCCTTCTAAAGCCACGATGTGGGACAGGCAGGAATAACGTAAGATCCACACTTGCTGCCCTGAAGTCATGGCAAGACAGCTTCCTCGGCTCCTTGCTCCTCGCCCGCCGCACGGGGCTTCTTGGCCCTGGTCAGCATCCGATAAGATCCGAGAAGCTGGTCTTTCAACAGCAGCTTTCGAGCATAAAGCTGATCAAAGCTGTGTGCTTCTCTCGTGGGCAGCTGCTCATGCACACGCGGGATGGTCCCGGTTGAGACGGATGAGGGCTTCAAACCCACCACCGCTTCTACCACCACTACCACCACTACCACCAGTATCACTAGTACCACCAATACCACCACCGCCGCCGCCGCCGCCGCCAGCACCAGCACCAGCGCCCGCACCACCACCAGTGCTACCACCACCAGTGCCACCACCACCACCACCACCGGCACCGCTGCTGAACGACCACGTGCCCGGTATGCAAAGATACGGCATGGCATTTTGCAACGATCCGCTCAGTTTGTGTCTGGACTCTCGGGCTGACTTCTGTCAGGCAGCCGAGCTTGAGAACCAATGGCTCTGCCGGTGATTTCAAGCCATGAGACCATGAGTCGCTCATTGCGAAGCTCTGTACAGTGCGCCAAAGTGCGACACAGGCGGCGACAGGCAGGACAGGAAGGAGGGAGGCATGAGCGGCAGCTCGGCCTGGCGCAGCTTGCGGGGATAAAGGATTCACCTCGTTACTTCGTCTTCCCAACCTCCTCAAACGTTAAAGCTCTGCCCGCAGCCGCACTCTGACTTCTTGTTGGGGTTGTTAAACACGAACCTGGGTACAGTGATGTGCAAGGGCTGCCTACTACGCAGGGTCCATGAATCAAAGCACATGCGCAAACAAGCGCTGAGGCAACAGCTCATTACCCACCTCATTGCTCACGAAGTCCATCTCTGTCCCTATCAGAAACATTACCTGAGACGGAGGCTTCAGAGAAGGAGCCTTGGACATCCTTGGACCCTGCTCCTCTGCTCCGAGAAGGAGCCCTTGGCGCCGCACCGCCTTGGAGTCTACTACGACTTTGATGCCCCCATCGGCTTCCACTACCTGCCCGCGGTGCAGCTGAAACTCTGAACACAGAGATTGAATAGCAGTGCTCCAGAAGGTCGCCGGAATGACCTCATCGAACTTGTTTACCTTGTCCGTATAATCCTGACGAGTGCGAGCCGTCACCACCAAATCCATGCCAATGCGAAGGGGTTCCCCTGCTGAGGCAGAGTCCATGGTGTACGACATGCCATTGCAGCCTCTCTGCCTGCTCCGAGCATGGTGTCTGGAGAACTGACATGCCCAACTGAAATGCAAAGTCTTGCCTCAAGCCAACTCGCACACCGATAGTGTTAGGATCGCTGTGTCTCGCCATGAGTGCACCAAGACGGCTTGCAGCACTCTTTGTTACGGACCTCGGACAAAAGCAACAACCTCAACTGGGCACTTCGCACCATCCTTTTGGCTACTCTGGCTGAGTTCGGCGACATGATCTGCTTTGCGGCAAAGGCTGCCATGGCTATCTCGGGTCTACTGCTTTGAGCAAAAGCTTCTTCTCCAATCGGAACGCTGTGAACATGCTCGTGATTATCCTTCCGGGCCGAGGTGCCCGAATTGCAAACAGCTATTTCCTCTTTACTGAGGCCAAACCCCAACTCCCGTTTACCAGCTCATACTGGCTCATACTCCAGCACAGGTCGAATTACAGAGTCACCTGCCTGCAAGCATGGCGCCGCGGGGGGGGGGGGGGGGGGGGGGGGAGGGTGTTCTTAATATGACATGAGCATTAACCCATATTAACCCCATCAGAGCCGGTGCAGAAGATCCGCTGCCTAGGCCGGTCGGTGGAGTCACCTTCTCCTGAACCAGATTTGGAGATGCTTGGAGCAGCCTAGGCCTTCTGCAAAGCCGTCCTCTACTCTTCCTGCGCGCCATGGGGCTGTCGCGCACATGCCTCATTGCAGCTTGGCTATGATTGATAGACGCTCAATGATTCAATGATGCTCCCTCACCCTGGCAGAGAATTTCATCTCATCCCAAGAAGTGGACAGCAGTCAGCTTGGACCGGTGCAGAGGTCAAAGATGTCGTTGCTGGTGCACCGGCATGCGGCAGGCTTGGCTTCATGCAGATCCAGGTTCTGCTGTTCTGCTGAGGCTTCGGGTGCGGGTGGTACATGGTGTCAGCGGCACTGACCAGCGAGAGTTACATTATGCCTGTACGTGCGCCGAGTTCTGCGTGTTGTGCTTCAGAGCCACGGTTTGCTGCCACAAGTAACCTCGCTGTGCTGCGAAAATCTGCGAGCATGAGCCGGCATGCGACCCACACGATGACACGCTGACGTCAGGTTGTAGGCATACCTTGTGGCTCCGGGGCCGGATGTCCTGACAAAGGCAGCTTCTATTGGCTACCCGGAACGCGGCAAAAACAAGTGACAATTTGCATGTTGGTGTTGGCTCTGCGTTGTTCGAAGTCTCAGCTCTTGTCCTGGGCCTCATCAGGGACCTGAGCTGAGGAGATGAACTGAGTACAGGAGCAAAAGAAGCATTATCAGACACATATATGTTCAGGCCATCACAGCGGCGTTGTCGTCTTCCCACAGCGCATGCTCCATTCCTGCATCAACTGATAGCCACATTTGTGCACTCAAGTTTGACAAGAGCCGGGCCCATGTAATCTGCTTGTGAATAAACCTTGTGCCAGGACATAAGCTAGCGAGCAGCTAGTGCCGTTCTCACGTCTTCCACTCAGCTCGAAGCCATGTTGTCCAACAAGACTGGTATGAGATCATTGAGCAGTGACCAAACCTTGAGTCCAACAAAGCAGTTGGCAAATTGGCAAATTGTGTGAAACATGGTGAAACCTTGAGTCTTCCTGAGTCCTGCGTGAGTCATTCGAAGCCTTTGAGGATCCTGCGCACTGCACCAACATTGCCGAGTTTGTGCATGGAGTCCAGACCTCAAGTGCCTGCATCAAGAATGGCAAGCGAACGGAGAGCACATGGAACATACTCGGCCCGATGAGGCCACGTGATGGGACCCTGCACACGTCACAGGCCTCAACCCGCACGACGTATTCAGGATGCTTACATGCCTTCAACATGTACCTGCAGCTCATGGCGTGATCGTTGCGATCATGGTCAAGTATTGAAGGCTTCAGGGATCAGATTGCGCTGCCCTCTACTGCCCTCTTGGCTTCCGTGCTGCAGCACCACAGAGGCCAGGTGTTCAGTGATGCAGGTCCACTGGTTCTCGATGACGCACCTCCGTCAAGTCTCTCTACTCATGTCTACTCATTCCGGGGGGCCGCCCCTGTCAAAGAATTTCACCACTGCAGCCGTGCTTTGGGTGCCTTTCCCACTCCCCTCTTGCGTCCCTTTGTTTGGAGCTTCTTTCAAGAAATCCGTTTTTGCAGGGCATACCGGGTTAGCTCAAATGCGCCGACTACGGCCAACACCCTGATGCTCACAGATTCTGGAAGACGTTCTAGGATGCTTCTTTCGAAAGATTGTTCATGTTGTGGATGTAGCACAACGGCCATGCATCTCACACGGGATATGCAGAAATTGAGGTCTGCACAAGGCATCTTAATGCTCCCTCCAGGAAGGGCTGCCAGAAGGACATTTTAGAGTAGCAGTGAGCCAACATGCGAGTTAGCATATTGAAGCCGAGGGACACGAAGCCTTTGCACACGTCTTTTAGAACATTGGCGTCCTGGTCGTTAGCGAGCACGCCGAGCACCTGCAAGCTTCGTCATTCAGCCAATGTCTCCGAATGCCTGAGGAGAAGACACTTCAGCGGGCACCCATGCCTCGAGGTACTGCCCTGCGAATGGCTGAAGCGGCGGAAACCTGCCGAGCTAGCAGAGCGCATCCCTGTGAACATTCCATTTAGCTTTTCCTTTTTGCCCATGTCCGTTCCGGCAACGGGCGCACTTTGGCTCGTTGAAGGCCCAGTTCAACGCAAAGTGATTCAAACCTTATCCCATCGAAGCAATTTTCAGCTCGCCCTGTGCAACGGCTTCCGGGGCTCCGGCATTCTATGGCATTTTGCCGGGCATGGAGTGGTGCTTGCGGGGAGGCGTACCTGTGGTTGCTGTTGTCATTTCAAGCGCAGAAAGGCTAAACTTCATGACGACGCATCTGCCTAGCCACTAAGTTTCGACCTGCCATTCGCTAGCAGTTCAGGAGCCCGTGCCAAACTCCACCATTCTCGTGAAGAAGCTCAAAGGACAGTACAGTGAGGTACAGTGAAGCAAAGTCCAACTGCAGCACGAGAGTACAACTAGTCCTATGGACTTCCGAAACTAGTTCATGGTTGGGATAATATGAAAATTTCAATTTTTACTCCTTGTTGGATTTAAGTACCCTTAAAAAGTAAAACGATGACAAAGTAAATGCCCAAGCAAAATCCAACCCTGAAGTCATGGGAGCTGCATGGGACGTTGGGCTTGACAGGGTTTGGACATTGTGCTCGGGCTAGGTTGCCTCCCAAATTTGCCTATTTTCCCCGCGCTTTGATGCACGGCGGCTTCGCTGAGCAGGGGAAACCGTCGATGCTACCAGAGGGCTCCTTAAGAGCCTCCAGGCATTCGAAACGGGCTGTCAGACGGTGAGGCGGCCTTCCAAGCTGAGGTCATGCATGTGCTGTGACGTGAGATGCGCGCCTTGCATTCCCAAGTGACTGAGTTTGACACCATTGCTAACCATCTCGTTGCGCTACTCTGCCGAATCGTCACAAGAGTGGCCTGGACTTCGCCAACGTCGCTGGAGCCAGCTCTTGTAAAGGTTGCGCCCCTGACAAGAACTCCGGGATTCCACAGAAATTCTGAAGACATTGCCGCGACATGCCACAACGCAGCGCCTTTTCGGCCGCCCAGACTTGGGCTTGCCAGCAGGAGGAGTCAAAGCGGTGCTGGAAGCCTCTTTCCTTGGGACTAGGAACCAGTCAGACATCGTTTTCTTTTTTTCGTCACATTGTCTTATCAAAATGAACTTATGCCAGCATTGCCGGCCAGCCACACACCAATGGCGTTGCCCGCATAGTCTTCTCCGTCCTCGATTTGGTCCTCGAATGTAGCAACCGTAGACGACACACGATAAACCAATGATGAGCTGCCCCTTTGACACATGATATCAGTGTACAGGTTGATGCATACACCATACACCTCATACATGCTGTCATGCATGCAGCCTCAAACATCAACACATGTCTTCGGAATCAGCTTAGATCGTGCCTGGATAAACCTAGAACTTTTAAGGTATCAGGGTAAAGAGAGTCAAGGAGACATGCGGATTGCAACATTTGTAGTTGCCCGGGTCCCCAAGGACCAGCGTAGCTGATCGGGACGCTGATCTGGACAAGCTTTCGTCCACCTGTCGGAGCCGATTGTTGTACTACACAACGCCCGATCGTGCACACATTCATCATGGTGCATCATGACGGCAAGGCATGGCAAGGCTACCGTCTTCTTAGAGAACTGTTCGCTGTTTTCATTGTAGACTCTCGCAATTGCACTGCAATGAAACACCAGTCAGGCTTTAGACCAAATCCGGGTTTACCATTGTATTGGGATCGGGGACGTCAAGGGCTGAAGGCAGTCCTTTGAAGTCCTTGCGCAAACGCAAGCCAAGATCAGAACAACATGGAAGAACACCGGGCTCAGCTGGCCACCTTTCTGATCTTCTGCTGCAACTTCTCGTTGTAGGCTTCCAGAACGGCTATCTGCTTCCTGTGCCGGTGGGTGCCAACAAGAGTCGGTTTCAGCACCCTCTACATCCCTAAGATCAAGCCCTATGGGCCCTATGCCCTATGCAGCCCTAAAGTGTCTGATGCTCTGCACATCTTGGCCTTGCTCCTTGCTCCTCTTCGACTAACTTGGCCTCGATTCGGGTTTCCCTTACTCGCAGCAGATAACTTCGAACTGAGGGCAGGACAACTTGCCGTTCCAACGAGCTCTGCTGCTCCTTTTTAAACAGATCCTGGCGCGATTAAGGTTGAAGGTTGCCCCGGCTATTTGGTTCCGGCTTTCAGAAGGCTTTGCCTTGATGGCCCTCTATATAACGTTAGTGTAACCTTGCTTGTGTTGGGACTTGAAACGGTGCTTCAGGGCACCATTGAGCCCGAGGGATTACCTGAATGCGCACAACCGTGAAGTCAACAGACAACCAAGACAACCATGACGTCATGAAAGCAAGAAACTGCAACAACAATCGACTGCATACTCAGCAATACTCAGCTCTCCTGGAGCCGGGAGAGCTCTGGTTGGTTGACTCTTCGTTGCATCTCCGGGTTCGCTTTCAAGAGAGCCTGCAGATGCAAAAGAGTCAACGACGAGTCAACGAGGCTGAGTATGGCTGAGTAAGAGGACAGCGCATGAGAGTGTGCGGAGCAGTGACACACTAGCGACAGACTTAGGCCACGAGTTCTGCATGGAGCGCGCCCTTTCTGCACAACCGCGCGGCCCTCTACGGGGGCGGCATGATCAGCGGGCAGGACAGCCAAGTTCAGCTCTCCGATGTTCGAAAGCCAAGTTCATGGCGACACTGCATGCCTGGCAAGCGTGCCAAAGTCGCACTTCGCCGTAGCTCCTCTCCCCCTCAGCCGCGTGCCTGCAAGACCTCCTCGCTGCAAGCCGGATGCAACAGCCGCAGCCTGTCCTGACCACATAACTTCATATAGGCATCTCCAGCTTCACTCGTGTTACCAGGTAAGAGCAGCGCTGGGTGCACTTGCTTTTGGCCATCGTAATAGGCCCTGCCTCGATAAAGAGCAGTTGACTGATGGCATGGGACATTTCGAAGCACGTTTCTATCTAGCCGCCACAGCCCGGTTGTGCCAAGCAACGCAGGGTTGCGCAGTCGCTGGCCCGGCGCAGGGCCAGAGAGTCAGGGCCTCAGACTGCTCGCTCGAATTCTCCATGCAAGTGTCCGCTGATCATAGTCTGTCATCCTCACACAGTTACTAAAGACATAGTAAGGCAGTTGCGTAACATGCAGGCTTCACGTGCTTCTTCGATGCCACGGTACCTCACTAGGCACACATCCTCTATAGTGGCACTATGTGAAACTTCTACAGCCCGTCCACATCAAATCTCAGATTCTCGCGGGCACCTGCCTCGCAGGAGCAGCTGCGCCATCTGGTGATCCAGCCTGAGGTGCAAGTCCACGTTCTCATTAAGTTTGGTGCCTCAAATTACATTTTCCCACCATACAAACATCGATCTCTGTGCACAGGGCACCGAAACAGTAGGGCTCCGACTCGGTCACAACATCCGCCAACCACGCCAAATTCACCCTCAGTTGATAGATGTTGGTAGGAATTTGGTATGGAGCCGCCATGACAGTGTGTTTGTTCCCCAAACACTAAGGGTTCTTACGGTCAGGGTAGAGTTAGATCGAGTTGCACGCGAGACGCACGCGATTACTTTTTCCAACGCGCGGGTGCCCGCACAGCCCCCTGAAGCATCGCAAGTTACATGCCTTTGGCTTTGTCGAATCGCGCTCTCGCCTAGGTTCCGTGCGCATTTTGTGGTTGGCGGGTGGGTTTCGTGCTCTCCTCTGAGGCTTGCGTCGCTACGCGTCCTGAAAACGCGGCAGGTGTGTGGATTCTTGCGTCTTGGGCCATTGGATGGGTTCGCTGTGTGCGGCCAGACGAAAGGCATTCACAATTCGCGATGCCGGAAATCGCGCTCCCGCCTAGGCGCCGTGTCCATACACGTCGCCATCCTCGTAACTGTCGTCGCTTCTTGACGCCTGGGTCCTTACATGCGAAACTGTCCTCGCTTTTGGACGGGGGGTTCGCAAAATGTGAAACTGTCCTCGCTTTTGGATGTTCGCGAAATGCGAAACTGTCGAAAGTCAACATTTGTAGTACAAGCGCTATGACGAGCACGTCTGGAGGTCCAGTGGCTCCAAAGAAAGCCGACTGTTATCGTGATTGCAGTACATAGAAAACTAGCACGCAAACTTGCAGGACGTCTGGAAATCTATTCGTGTCCCCATGAAGCGTAATCCTTGAAGTGTTGTGGGGTCTACGCTTGCAACATCTCTCATCTTGAAGGGCTTGCTTGCTTCGCTGGCTTCCAGGCTTGGAGTCCCACGAAACTGACGTGCTCACTGCCCGAGTTATGTCTCGCACCTCTTCTTTGATGATTGATGATGATGTGACACAACAGGTGCAGAAAACACAACTTTTTCAAGCAGTGGAGGCCTGCATGGCCGCATAAGACTCAGATTTGCAAACCTAGGCACCCCGGGACTTCCAACGAATCTCTTCGGAAAGCATGGTGCAGCATCGAATCCATGGCTATGCCGGGTATGGTCTACGCATGTCGATGCCCCCCACGATGCACCGAGCACACACCGAGCACCAGTCCATCTGTACGGAATGTGGAGGGGTCGGAAGTTGAACCTAAGACTAAGCATGTCAGGCGGCAAGATCAAAAGGTCCCCCGGCCTCGATGCAGCATTGCCAGGAAGTTGCAAGAAGCGCTGCGAGAGCCTCGAAAGCATCAAGATGTTCAAAGTGCAAAGTGCTCTCTGTCCAGGCCAGTGGCTGCAATGGCTCCAAGCATGAAGTGGGGGTGTACCACACAGGAAAGCCTCAAGGGTACGATGGGGTACGCTGAAAGCTGGTTGAAAGCGGTTGAGCCGAGCATACACGAGTCAAATCTCATGAGCGAAGTCACACTCCCGTCATGCTCGCCCAGGCCAGCTGGAACAGACTTCGGAGCCTCAGGATCTCACACATTCGTTTGACATGGTGACAACATGCAGACCTCGACTGAAGCCTGACTGAGGCTTGTGCAGGCATGCACCAACGAGAAGCGGACAAAGAACCTTGGCGTTGAAGGTGTACATGCACCATGCTAGACAAAGTCATGGCCACTGCAGAAAGCCTCAATACTCGTAAGGCCGCCACTACTTCCACGATGCTGAGCGAACTTTGGCTCCTGCGTTGAAGGATGGAGTGAATGGCTCAGAGCTTTTGGCAGACCAAGAACCAAAGCGGAGGAGCTCCGCGTCCTTACTCGAGCTGCTTCTTGTCAGTACTCTATGGGTTGACGCTCTTTACGAAGCTAATGCGGCTCGAACGTAACTCGAACATGTTTTCGAAGACTTCTTAGAGTGTCCGCTCGCCGTTCAGGCCTGCGCCGGACCCGATCTCACATTTACTTTGTAATCTCAGTGGTGTCATCCCACTGGCAGTTGCGGGTCAGTCGGGCTCCAGATGGTTCCCGTGTTTTGGGGGTGCTTTTCTTGATTTACGTCGCCGCGTCCTGCAAGGAATCTGTGGACAGCTGCTCCTCCGGGAGTTGTAGGCCTCTGGAGAGGCAGTCGCGGCACGATCGCGGCCACAAAAAAACGATGCCGGCCTCGCGACGTCTGGCGCGAGCGTCCAAGATGTCAGCCAGCGTGCCGTCGCTCGGCACACTAGATGAGGGGCGGGTTCGAAAAGATGGGCCCGCACCTTGGTCCACTAGGGTGGTGTGTGAACAATGAAAAACAATATGTATTTGCAAAGTAGCATCACGCATGCTTGCAGATTTGTCAAAAAAGGCCCCTGCTCGAGACACTGGCTGTCTGCGCCATGGCAGCTGCGACGGCTTTTTCGGTCAGAACGAAAAAACCAAGCCGTGTTTGCATCTACATCGTCACAATGGGTGCTCTTAAAACCTCGAGACTCTCGGTCCAAAAGAGTGATGGTTGTCAATGCTCTTGCGGTCGATGTACTGTACCGATGTATATCTTGTTCGTATGTCTTGGCATGTCTTGGCCCTCTTTCTTACCTCATACCCACTTGCCGCCATCCTGAACTCTCGACCTACATCCACCTATGAAACTATTTATGAGTGCAACAGTTGCATTTCCATGTCGCGTGTGACCATAATTCTAGATATTTTCAGGTATGAGCATTCCAAGTCAGGGCAACCACGAGCTGCGTTGTCCAAGCCGCGTCAATGCTTTCGGGCCCCAGCATGCTGTCCCTCCCCCCTATTTCTCCAACATCGGATGTCTAAGGACCCAATGAGGGCTGCGAATGGCTGCGAGCTGGCTGCGAGCTACCAGACATCGGACACTGAGCGCTCTGAAGTCTTCCCAGATTTGCTTACAATATGCACCACATGATGACAATATGACAAGATCATAGAATGTCAACACTTCAATGTGCTTCATGATGTCGTGACTTCAAGAGACATCAGGCGCTCCCATGCGCTCCCGGTCTCCCTCGGCACCTCCAGCTTCTCTTCCAGAAGAGCAAGTAAACAACCGCGCTGGGCCTCAGAAGTCCGAGATGCTGGCGTGCATCCTCATACGGAAACAGGAGATGTGACAGTAGCTGAGGCCCTGACAGGCTCCATGAACATGAGCGGCTCGTAGGCACTCTTTGGCGGAGCAATGGGCCCCGCAGTCTGAACAAGTCAGGCACTCGGATGCGAGGGTACTTGCGGATTCTCGCATTGCCAGCCAACATTTGCGAGTGCAGAACTCGGCATTCAGAAGCCGCTGCGAATCGCTGCGAGCTCTGCGAGTCAGATTCGCCTCTTTCTTCTTCTGGAGCAAATCTCCTGAATTCGCAGGGAGCGCAAGCCGCGACGACCAGCACAGCTCAGTTCTGGCCGAGAGTCGCAAAGTGCTCATCTCCTTTGCAAAGAGCTTGTTCATCCTGCGAAGATTGTCGCCCAGGTTCTAAGCATACAGCTGCCCGCTGTTGTTTGCTCCTGTGAATCTGTCTAACATGCAATTTCGGGTGGAGGCTGCCTGGTAATCTTGTCGTCCAGTCGCTTCTGCCTGCACCCCCCCCAGGACAGCTGACGAAGAGCTGAGGCCCCCAGTTATCAGGAGTCCCACAAGCAGGTCGGATGCACTCTGCTTTCATCATTCTGAGCTCTGCCAAGTCTGTCCCGATGAGGCCTGCGGTCAACTCTACATGCTCTGTTTGTTAAGGGCGTTGGATGAGTTTGGGAGTTCAGTAGCTCAGTAACCGTGAATCGAAAGCACCGTCAGTCGGCTGACATGGGAGGGTGCTGTTTCCCAAATTGCCTTGGGCATGTCGCTCCAGAAGCTGCCTGCTCCTTGTCAGCTCAGAGCTTGGTCAGAGCTCCGAGCACAAGCTGCCCCCGAACGAAACGCAGTTGAGTGTAGTGTGCGTGTGTGTGAGAGTGTGTGTGTGTGTGCGTGTTGCTGGGGCAGCCACAACTCAAGTTGTACGAAGATGTCTTCCTCAGAAGGCGTTCGGAAGCCGCTTCTGCCATTCTCACAAATTTCATTGCTGCAGTCGCTATGGTGGCAGCAGAGATTGATGCAAGCAAACGGCCATAATCTTGGCTTTGGTCGAGCTGGGGAAGTCCCGTGCCTTGCAAGGAAGAAAGCAATGTCAATGTCTTCACACAGCAAGCAGAGAGGCGATCGAAGCCTCGGGAAACATGTCCTCCACAATGCCAAATATCCTGCCTGGCAGGACCACCGACGCTGTAACCACGTCTTAGCAGGGGGTCTAGGCTGTATTTGTCCGACATCCTTTCCAAATCGGCGGTGGGCACGTGCACACGAGGAATGCTCCTCAGCAACATCCCGAAGCGCCTCAGAGGCAGCGACTGCGATGCGACGATTGAAACCAGCATGGATAGTCATGAAGTGACTCAAAAACCGTCTCTGGATCCTGACCCAAAGCCTTGATTTGGACTGCTATTCTCGCAGGTGCCTGCAGTTTGTTCACCCATTCGCCCGCAGTGCTGGCATTCAATGCCTCCAGCGAAGTGAGGCGAAGGAGCAGGCTGGGCTCGAAGAGACAACTACCCCCCAACCCCACCCAAACATCCAGAAGTGTCATTTCACATGGTTCCGGGTCTTCTTCATTCTTCCTACCGGTAGTTCTGCATTCTGTGTGTTTGTCTTTGACGTGGCTCTAGTAACTACAAGTAGGAGGGGTCACAGACAGTTGCCACTGCTGAAGCGACAGGTTGCCATCGCTGGAACACCAGCAGCCGGCCCACTACCGGGCCGAGGCTGGAAAGGCACGGAAAGACCCCGGTCTAGGGTTTAGGGAGTTTAGGGTTCCTTCCGCAGGCCTGCTAGCCTCAAAACCTGCCGCAAGACACCGGGTGCCGTGCCGTAAGGTCGAGCTGATCCTTCGCTTGGATCTGGCAAGAACAGCTGCTATGAATCTGTTCTGCGCAAACGTCTACGTAGTACCCGGATCACTAAGATCAGGATTGGGATTCGGAAGCCTGGCTACCCAAACAACGTTCCGGTTCCGTTCGGGCGGACCACCTTCTGAGGTTGCTCCCTTGTTGTTTTTTGGGGGTGTCCGGGTTCGAGCGTGCGGGATCCACCCTGGGAGGGGGGTTTCAGGTTCCGGTATGGTTTGTTTCGGTTCGGGCTCACCCCCTCCTGGAGACAAGGGGTGGCGGGTGTTGTGTGAGGGTTGTTCGTTCGGGTTCGGTTCGAGCTCACCCCGATTTTCTGCATTTGATGTTGGGTGCTGCTTTAAAGAGAAAGCTCGGATGGGGATGGGGTTTCACTGGGTTCGGGTTCTGGTGTGCGTTCGTTCGGGCTTGGGCTCGGCTGGGGCTCGTCAGAACTGGCCATGAAGCCATGCAGCAAGCATGCCAGTGCGACGCCGGCAGAACTTGCACTTGCACTTTGCGGACTTCGCACAGGGTCGCGAGAAGAGCTCCCTGATGCCGGCCTGGAGTAGAACGAACCGTGACGAACTGTTTTCCTGTGATCTGACAGAGCCTGGCAGTGACATTCGATTCACAGCTGCAGATGGCCTCCGAGATTCAGCTCCAGGAACTGCTGGCAACTCTCGCTCCTTGTCCTTCCTTATCCAGAAACTACTGTTGCCCACGTAGGAAACAGGAAACTTTAAGCAGCTTTCGAATTACTAGGGGTGCCACTTCGCACCGCTCATGCGATGTACCTTGAAGCGCATTCTCAGGAGTCTATGTTTACAGATCACTTGGTCGTCTCTTCCGCCCTGCCTTCCTCGCATCATGTTCGGTAGCTGAGAGGTACTCCTAAAAACGCTGACAACAATCTACAGACAGACTCTCAGGGAATGTTGTGTGCTTTGCTTTGACCTCGATATCGCAAAATTGCCAAGGCCGGCACAGAGCTGCTGGAGACTGCGTGGCTTGCCGGGCTGTGGGTTGTTGCCTTACTGAAGAGGGGTATTGAAAGCGCCGGGCGATGTGCGCAACTTCTCCACACTACGCGTA